AATTCAAAATCATTTCATATGATTTATCAAAATTATCTAAATCTGTAATTTTATTTAAACTATTATTTTTTTCTTTTTTTATATGAAACATTTCTGCAAATAATCGTTTACTAAGATATTTTCTGTATGTAAAATTTTAAAATCATCCCATTTTATAAAATGAGGAAAAGTGTCGTTCCTGCAGTCTGTCAAGTGGTTGCTAATTACATTATGGTATTTTTCATCTCTGTCAAAATTTTTTATGTGTTCTTGTCTACGAATATGTATTGGTCTTTTAGTTTGTCCCAAGTAAGTCTTCCCGCAATTACATTCAAATTTGTAAACACAATTACATTGATTAACTGCTTCGAGTCTATCTTTACCAAGTCTTATAAATTTATCAAATTTTGAATCAACACTAAAAACTGTTTTTATATCAATAACATTTGGTCCGAATGTTTTCGTTTATTTTATTTATCTTACTTAATACTACTCGGACGTAAAAGATTATTCATAATTACTAATAAATAATTATTAATTTTAAATTCAGTTTGATGAATATTCAGAAAATTTAAGTAATTAATATTTTCTTCATTGCAGGAAAATCTTTGTTTAACATGTAAATATTCTCCTCAGTTTTTCTCGCAAAACACTAGATAGATTAAGCTAAATTTTGTGGAGAACTCAAAAATAGTATAAGGATTCCTTGTTGACTGATACAATTGATTTTCTAGGGTTATTTCTCAGAATAATAATATTGTTGCAATATGATATGCTATTTGCAAAAATTTTCTCTCAATAGTTGGAATAAATAATTTTGAAATCAGTAAAAAAAAGTTGTAAAGCTTTTCTGTGAATTAAAATTGCTAGTTTAAGTCTCTAAAGTAATGAGTTTTCCGTGTTTCAACCCAAATTCGTTTGTTGAGTAGGTGCCTTTCGAGTTTTCGAGTTATCAACGTGGGTTTTTATTAATGGCAGCTAGAAGGGTCTCCAGGTTTATGGAGAGACATAAACTCTAAACTGATTAACAGTCGCCAGTATCTGCCTGCTCGACTGCAATATATATGCACGGTGTTAGCAAAGCTGAGCTTAAAGGTCATCGTCGACAAAATTAACATTGTTCATTTAAATAGATAGATGTGTCAACCAAAATTAAATTTCGATTTTTAATTCTAAGAGAAATAGCAAATGAATCATGTTATCGCACATTCTGCTTGTCACTTTATTGACATTAAATTATAAACACCAAAATAATTTAATACTTAAGGTTTTATATATCATTTTTCTATTAGTTAAATTTATAATTATTTTATTAGATAATAACTAGTTAGTTTTAGAACTATTGTTAACGTAAAACTATTTTTTAAAGACAAATGAGAATTATGAACTAATAGCAAACTGTAAAATGGATATTTGTAACTACCAATCAAAATATTTTAAATAATCAAACCTTTTGTGTTTGTATTTCCCTTTCCTATCACGATAAACTTCATTCGAATAAATAATAACTATTAATTATGTTTGTCCGTTGGGATCATCATCTATGGACCCGAGGCAATAAAGTTTATCACGAAACGGAATTAAACGGTTTATGACTGGACCACAGATTAGTATGGATGGGAAAGTGGACACAAGTACAGTAGATACGCGATCATTTGCGAATTCATGCTCATCGACTCAATACACCAGAGGGTAGAAAGGTCGAATTTGTTACCACCTAAACGTCTCCTCTCTGTACACTGCAGTCTTTTAGCGATGCAAACACGTTCAATACACCCGACCATGTCAATCAGTATTGAAATTGTTATTATGGTCGAACCTATATACTAGCAATCTCTTTTTGTATTTTAGTTGATGAGATACGCGAAAAACACAAAAAATTCGACAATTCACAAATTAGTTTCTTTAATTAAAAATTGTATTTGAAAATTCACGAATTTTTACCTTTTCCACATGCTAATTACAGCGGTTAGTTCGATGTAAATATTTTTTTATTATGCGTTATAATTATATTAACGAATTTAACAATAGTTTGTCATAAATTAGCCAATTTTAACAATTCAAAAAATTATTAAATTCCATAAATTATATACAATTTTGGTTAGCAATCTATACTGCTAGTAGATGTTTAATTAATACTTAATATAAGTCAGGGATTTTAGTAATAAAATTTGCCATAGTCATTCAGAACGAGTTAAATTTTTTATTTGTTTATAATAAACAATTATTTTTTTATAACAAATAACAAATTTGAAAAGTGAAAGAATTATTTTGTGAAAAGTTGAAGTTTTATTAACTATTCGTAAATAATAATTAAGTTTCATCAACTTATTTCGAAGAGATGGAAGTTTGATAAATGTTATGCATAAAATTTCAATTTTTTATAAAAAATAAGCAAATGAATATTTTTTAACAATATTCATAGGGTGTTTAACTATAATAGAACTATATTTATATGTATTTACATTGACAAATTTCAATCTTTAGAAATCCGAAGTCCACTTGAGAAACTCTTATCCTAATATTAACCAAATTAATTGCCATTGTACTCTACTATTTAGATATGCCTTCCTAGGATGTTTTTTTGTCTCCATAGAAACATAAACATCTCCATGAACATAACTTTATTCTAAAAAGGCATATCTGAACAATACTGTAACATATATGATGTTTTTATATATTTTAAAGTATATTCCACTTAGAGAAAATCAAATTTTAGAAAAATAAATACAATTTTAGAGTTCATAAGTTTTTTTGTTTGCACTTAGGAAAATAAATAAATAGACTGTAATACCCTGACGAAAGTTTGGGATTGATATTCAATCAGTTTTGATAAGCATTGTTCCGAGGCATTACAAAATTTGTTTCCGAGATAATCAGTTTCTGCTTAAATCTAAATTTGTATGTAACTGAACAAATAAGTTTTTCTACGTTTTTCACAGCGGAATTTTAATGTTTTTGAATCCTATTATTTTATTCCAAAACACTTCGAATCATTTTGTTTTCAAGTCAATTTATTCAAAATGAAATTACTCGATTCAAAAGAATTATAATTCAATTCTGAATAATTGATTCAGAATGATTCGGAAACAATATTTTTTAATTACATAGAAATTTAGATTTTGATAAAAATTGATTGGCTCTATAACAAATGTTGGAACATCATTCCGGTACTTTCGACTTTGTAATCTGCAAAGCAACTAAAGTTGCATTACTTATTATTACATATGTATCTTTACAATATATGCATAAAGATTATGGGGAGCATGATGGATTAATCACAACAGAACCCATTGCTTCCCCTCTGTCATCAATTTCTACGCGCCACTGGTCATTGCAAATAAAAAATTGTTCTAGCAACAAATTGTCATTTCATAAATAAAATATCTCTTTTCAATCAACATTCCTGACATGAATTGTTTAGAAACATTAATTACAAAAGTTAGTTATAAACAATTAATTTCAAACGTAGATGTATCGACACTTATATTACATTAATTTTATTATATGCTGAAGATTTTATAATAAAATAATTTGTGCCATCAGGGGCGTTTCACGGAAGGACACAATGGTCGAGAATAAATTTTGTATATATTTCATTAAGTGTGTACACGGAAAAGTTTTTGGGATTACTAAATGTATCTGTACGTATAGCTCATGTTGAAGAAAAATCTAAAGAGTCAATTCTTAGATTCTCTACAAATCGTAAACAAATCCATTCAAGATTCTTTTACAAGTTCTAAACGATTCTATTCAAGATTCTTTTTCGAGTTCAAGTTCCAATAAAGTCTAAAAAGTTCCAGTTTTATTCAAGTTACAAAAATATAAATCATCCTAAAGTCATTAATGCTTCTATTTAGTAGTTGCTAATAAACTTTATTCCTTGAATAAATAATTATCCTAGAATAAAATTCCGCTCGAAAATATTACTTGATGTGAATCCCAACTTGAATATATATATAATTAAATAAAATAATGATGATAATATTATTAAATTTCCATCTAATCCCTACAACTGTTATTAACAACAATTTTTACTTCAATCAATAATTTACGAGTTAGAAATTCTTGAAAAAAGTATCGTAACTGTTTAGTTGCACATAACTTGTAAAATAATTGAAATTTTGCAATAATACACGGCACACTTATTTAGAATCCTGAATACTCACAAATTGCAAAATCAATTCTCGATCAGGGCTTTCTTCTGTGAAATGCCCCATTACTGTGGTATAAGATAAAAAAGATTCATTAAAACACTTTCTTGCATTTTAAAAGTTTATAAATTTTTTGCTTATGATAGGTTTATAGCAAGTATACTTAAAAGTGTTTGAGAGTGGTACTTTTGTTAACGCAATTATTTTTTTAAGCGAAATTGATTGACCATTTTTGCAATTTGAATTCTCAGCGCATTTTATTTAATACATCACTCATAAAATAATAAAACACACATAATTTCAAAACATATAATTTTTTTTTAATAAAAAGCGACAAAATTTATATTAGACTTATAATTTATATTAGCATAAAGTGTTTTAATTACTGAGATACTGTTGCGAATTGTTTAACTCCAAGAACGGTCAGTCATTTTCTTGTGAAATTTTAATGTAAGTAATTACATCACTTTTGAATACCTTTTAAAAATAAACAATAATAATAAGATTCCCAAGTAACACGTAATATTAAAATGTCCACCTGATGATAATATTATTGTAATATTACAGGCTGTTAGAATTATTCACCTAGAATCACAAACTTAAATACATTATAAGTTTAGCATGTTGGTAAGAACTCTCGATTTGTGTATCTAAAGTTCGGGGTTCAATTTCTTGCTTTCGTGCTTTCTTCGTGAAAAAAACTATTAATATTTGTTTTAATATTATAGTAGTAGAATTTTCTCTTTAATAATAGTATATTTATCCAAAATTATTTTTTTCAACTTGAAGATAGGTAAAAGTAAAATACTTTATTAATTGATTTACAATTAGTTACTTTAAAAAAATGTTTGGTAATTATTTATTTATCTTATATATATATATATATATATATATATATATATTTATGATGGTAGCGAACCTGGCTACCGAAACATTGTCTTAAATAAAAGTTTTTTACTTTTACCTATCTTTCAAAATCGAAAAAATAATTTTACATTTTTAATATTACAGTAATATTACGTGCTACTTGGGCGAACGAATTTTACCCTCCTATTTTTCTATTATAAAAAATAATTATCTTTTTGTAACGCAACTTTAAAGTGCGGTCAGAGCACTGCAAGCATTTATGCAGATCTTGATTGGTTACTTCCAGTAGAAAAACTAGTTTTTTTTATTAAATCCAACCAATCAACTTTTTCATAGACTTTGCATGCAAAAACTGTGACCGCGCAATTAGTCAAAAAAAAATTAAATTATTAACTTTACGAATCTTTTTAATATTTCTTAAATATATATAGTTTATTTTTTATTAACCATTCATTTCGCCACTAACTCTTATTTTTTTATACAGGTTTATTAATTAATTTTCAGTCTATGATTGTTAACATCGAAACTTGTGGCTTGTAATTCAAATTACTTAAATAGTAAAATATAATTGTTTATCGTTTTTCCGTAAAAATTGAATATTAAAAAGTACATATACATATGACGCATTTTCTGGAAAAAGAAACACCCGAAAAATAAAATTCTTTGAAAATAATATAATAAAAATCAAAATAAATAGAATTTTATTTTTTTGCTAACTTTTTTTACAGGGAATACCTCATATATTGATCGTAGATAATACTCTTCGATTATGTTAATTCTTTACGGAATAACGAGGATAAATAATAGTGGTGAAAAATATAATAAAAATTATCAGATCAACTTTGAACTTTAATCATTATTGTTAAAAATTATCAATTTTCAATTAAAGTACTTTCAAATCAAGAAATTCCTCAGAAAAGTAATAGATTGGGAGCAATTTTGTAAATTGTCACAGACAAGAGCACTAGTACTTTATTATAGTAATAAATTTAGGAAAATGTTTATTTTCGGAGAGGATGCCACATAGCAACTGGACGTCTCAGAGCTGCTAACATTTGTCGCCAGTGTGCCAATGCTCTTCCAGATGTTGTTGATCCCACGATAACGTGACCAACAGAAAATTTCCCATTTGTGCCTTGATCTCCTGTTACTTCCGCTACAGTCAGCCTTAACTGAACGGTCTGAATAATTTTAATGCATTTCATTACTATATTGACATATTGTATTGCAACATTAATTTTAATTATTAATAAAACGTTGTAACGTTGTTTTTAGTTACTTAAATATAAACACACTTCCAAGTGTTTCGCCGAAACAGAATTTAAAATAATTACGCGAGAAATTAAATAATTACAATTATTAAATGAGCCAAGCCCGAACTCAAAACTTATAATTATGTTTATTTTTGTTAAAAATGAAACACTGTAATTTGTATAATTTTCTAGAATTGAGAATGAGATTCCACACTTAGGAAATTTACTTTGTATACAATATAAAACGTTAATATGGTATTGCCTGTTGGTAAGTGGAAAAGCCACAACGAGAATCATTTCATATACTCTATACATTGTCATGTTTTTTGGAAAGCGTGATAGCGAAATTCACAATCCAATGTAGCCTATCTGGGAGTATTAGGATTGGCAGTCTAGTGACTTTTACCTACTTTGTCAAACATTTTGGTCTTTATTTTGTTTCTCTTTCTATCGTGTTAATTAAAGAAAGACATAAAGGAAAATGGTTGTCCGAAGTAGGTGATCGCATATTGAAGTTTAGCCAATCTTAATAGCTGTCAACCCAAAGACGCAGAATAAAGGGTGCAGGCGCGAGACAGCAATCAGCCAAGACGGGACGACAATTAACTGGCTCTCCAGTTCGAGCTTGGTATCTTTCCAATACTAACCGACTATTGGCTTCCCAGCGTCGAAATTCAGTGACAACAGTGCTGCAGTATTGGACACCTTGGGTGCTGCATCATTCAATGCCACAAGGAGGAAGGACCATAGAGGCTCCCAGTTTCTTAAGGTTCCCCAGGTTCGTTTGGAAAGACTTGGAAATAGAACAGGAAGTGCTTCAAGCGTTTCGAGTGTAAGCAGCGGAAGAAGTTTGATTCCGTCTGACCTAGACAACGAAGGCCATAAAAGAGGAACGCGAAATTTGCGTCAGTTTGAGAAAGGAAGAATCTGAGTTCCTTCTGAGGATCGAAGAGGAGCTTGTCAAGAATATGAAATCTTGCGACATCCAGAAGACCGTTAATCGGCTATGCACATGCAACCAAGAGGACTGAAGCAACAAGAGAGAGCGTATCCATGAGAAACGTCTTCGACGCGCGGTCATGCAGACGCAAAAGAAGAAACGAAGTACCGGTTGTCCGGAAGAGACAAAAGCCGAAATAAAAAAGAAAAACGAGGAAGCACCTCCATTGAGGAAGAATGTGGAGGTAACGAAGGCACCGAAGCCGTCCAACAAGACGAAGAATTTGAGAGGATCAACAGTGGTTATCCGAGTCGTTTGAGGTAAGACGTATGCTGATGTATTGGGAAAGCTCCGCTAGGAAGTTAACCCTCACATCAGCCACACGAGAGTCTTAGTGGCAAGACCCACTCATAAGGGAGACCTCTTGATCAGGGTCGGAGGTGACTCAGACAAGGTAGCTTTTACCGCCGAGGTGATCAAGGCTGTTGGCAGCATGGGTAAGGTGCAGACGGGGGATCGAAAGGTTACACTCGAGATCCGCGACCTGGATATCCTTACCCATGAAGCAGAAATCGGAAAGCCAGGAAGCTGGAAGGTGACTGTCTTAGGACCCAACAAGCGAGGGATGAAGCTTGCAGTTGTTGTCACCGACCAAGAAGAGGCTGCCAGACTGGAGGAATTGGGGCGCATAAAGATTGGCTTTATGTGCTGCCAAATAAGAAACAGAGTCATGGTCGTCCGGTGTCACCGATACCTATGTTACGGCCATCTAGCAAAGAAGCAGACACATCCGCTGTGTGCTTTAAGTGCGGAAAAGCGGATCATAAGTTTGTAGATTGTAAAAGCAGCCCTAGTTGCTTTTCGTGCAAAGCGAAATCCGGCGACAAGGTTCCTCTCAACCACGTCGCTGGAAGTGGAGCATGCAGAGTCTTTTGGTCAGTCCTCGAGGAAGCCAAGAAGACTCTCGCAAGAAACAAAGCCAAGTAGGCCTGTAAAATCGGCAGCAGCAAAGGTCGCGATAGCGAGATCCCAGGGACCTTAACCTACGAAGTTTAAAGCTTGACGGCAGTTCCGTAGTGTGAGGATTAGTCCAGCTCAAGAATGTGGTTTTTTAGTGGGTCGACCAGAACAAGAATGGTCATCCCCACATAACCTCGGAGCACCGGGCTCCAGGTATCTGCCTTGGATACTAAGGGTTATGCAGATTTTCAACTTCCCTCGTAAAAAAAATACCAACCGACTACAGTCTTCTCCAGGTTTAGATTCTTGATTAAATAATTCAAATATATATTGAATAAATAAGTAAATTCAATTGGTCGTTTAGTGATGTTATTTATTAAAAATATAATGTTGTGTGTCCTTCTCTCTCCCGTGTGAGAAGTGTACTTGTCGACCCTGAAAAATGGTGATTAGTGAAATTCAATAATTCGGTTTTTCGAGCTAGTCCAGGAAGCTCATAATTTGTGGTTATTTTCAAAGATTCGGGTAGTTTATATACATGGCGCCTGGGATTTATTTCCTAATAAATACTAAACGGATCTTTGGATGTTGTTGTTGAATTCTTAGTCTCGAGTTCAACAACTTAGATTATGTTCCTGCCATCGTCGCCATTTTTTGTAGAGTCGATTAAGTGGAATTTTTCACTGAGCACATGTTCCGCGTTACAAAGTTTATTGAAATAATTACGCAGACAAAATTCGCTGAATATCGGAAATATATAATAATCTTCTAAATCACGGCATATATTGAAAAAATCGAACTAACAATTGATTGAGGTTTGGTTCTAGATTAAACACCTAGCCTTGAGACAGCAATTTTGAATCAAGATTGAAGCTTCAGACTTAAATCGCTGTTACATTTTCGCTTTGCTTTTTTTCACTAAGACTTAATTAAAAATATTAAGCAAGTATCAACCAAACCTAAGCAAGCTTGAACTGATTGTCGCTTCTTACCTTGGTATTATTAATTATTTCTCAGGTGAGAATTGATGATGGATGTAAGTTTCATCAGATTTGGTTACGGCTTGGCAAAAATTGGTTAAGCAATAGTAGAACAATGCGGGCAAGGATATAAAACTTGAATGTAATAGCTATTAAAGCCTCAAAATTCCAAGCTTGATTAAGGATTAGTAAGCAAGTTTAAATAGACCCCGATGGATTATACTAACTGAATTCTAACCGAATATAGTTAAGATTCGATGAAATGCAAAATATTAAAGTTAATCGATAAAATATGATGAATTAAACTATTGAAGAGAATTACTAGAGTAGTACAGTTTTGCGAATTACAGAGCATTCAAATACATAAAGACTGCAATTGATAATTGGTTTACTTTTCAAAAATAATTCAAACTCACCTGCAAAGCATGTGCGGGCACACTAAAAATGATTGCCTCATTGAAAATAGGACTCTTTTCTCCTTTTTTGATTGATGTTCTCTTTTTATGTACTTTTTTTCCTTCTTGCAATAAATATACCTGAAAAAATATATATTTTTAAAATAATTTACACAAAATAACTTAAAATTCTTCATATCAAAATCATTGTATTACCTTTACAAAAAAATCACCAGGTATTATATCGCCCGCTTTTGTTACATCCAAAGTTCCAGTTCCTCGAAGATTTCTTGCTTTCACAACGACGAGAGTTAGTCGTTCTGCTGTAGGTAGATAACTTAAGGAGAACAAAAGCTCTCCTAATTGTGGAACAGGTAATGCAGGACTTATAAGCGGCAACCACGTAGTAGCAGGTGGTCTAGGAGCTGGTCCTAATCTTAGATTTGACTCTCCTAAAAGATACGCCTCTCCCGCCAATCCCATTTCTAACGTAAAAATCTGAAAAATAAACAAAGATTTATAAAGAGTTGTACGGAAAATATAATTATTATTCAATGAAACACGGGACATTCAAATCCAAACGGATATCCCAAAACTTTTTATGAATTTTAACTGGAAATACAGTCGACACTTGATAAATTGAAGCGGTCTTAGGGTCCCTTTAAAACTCTTGATAAATTAAAAAAAATAAATTTTAAAAAACTAAGGCATAAAAAAATTGTGGCATCTTGGAAAACCTGCTCTCCGTAAACGGAGATATAACAGTTTCAATGAGTGCAGTTCTAGTTCTTCGGCGGATTTCATTAATAGATCTATTGGCAAAGGAAAGACAGGATTTCTGTATGCTAAGAAAAAATCCAGCAAGCTTTCTAGAACAAGAGAACTACAACAGCCTAAATGATAAGAAAACGTAAAAGTTTCGTTTCAAAGAAACGAGAAAAGATGTCGTTGAAAGATGACAAAGGTGATGTAAATTCTTGATAGACCTTATCGTGGTGGTGGGGCTTTTCACTAAAGGACATCCAAAAACTAAGATGTAAGGTAAGGAGAAAAAGATATATGGAAAGCAAACGACTAAATAAGGACGTTTTCGGTGCAGAAAAGGGATACCCCAGTGCCGGCGCTGCTGAAAGTGTGCAAGTTGGCTTCCCAACGTCGAAATCCAGTGACAACAGTGCTGCAGTATTGAACACCTTGGTTACTGCAGTATTCAATGCCACAAAGAGGATGGACCATGGGGGTACCCAGTTTCTTAAGGTTCCCCAGATCCATTTGGAGAGACTTGGAGGTAGAAAAGCAAGCGTTTCTAGTATCAGCAGCAGAAAAAGTTTGATTCCGTCTGATTTAGATAAAGTGACAATTGAAGAAGAACGCAAGAAGTGTTTAAAGCTTAGGCAAGAGAAAGCTGAGTGTCTTCAGAGGATCGAAGAGGAGATCGCCAAGGTGATAAAGTCTTGCGAAATCTAGAAGAATTTCAACATTAATATTAAGGACAGACTTAAGATTCTTCAAAATTTTGTCAGTGAGGCGAAGAGAAAGTACGCCCTAGCAGATAAAGGCCTGAGCAGAATAGAAACGTAACCAGAATCTTAACCGCAATCGCAACCGGAAGAATGAGTTAGAGAAAGATAGACATATTGTTTGTCCTTCTCTAACTCATTCTTCCGTTTGCGATTACGATTCCGGTTACGTTTCTATTCTGCTCAGGCCTTAATGGAGATCGCAATAATTTGGTGGAAGTAAATCCGGTCGTTAGCCACACGCAGGTCGTAGGCGCAAGGCCTACAAAAAGGGGAGATCTCCTGATCAAAATTAGAGGATACTCTAATAAGTATTATTCACAAGAATAAAGTTTGTTACAAATAATATTTATTAAATTCATTCAAGAAAAAATTACTTTATATTTCGAAATTCACATCAGCTTCGGCTTGGTGAAAAACAAGAATATTTTAAACATTTGTTTTGCACCATACCATATGATTAATAATAAAATTTGTAGACAAACATTCCTTCTCAAGATTTCTTAAATACAATTATTTTATATAGTTTTAGTTACCTCTACTAGAAGTGTTCTTCCCACAGGACCTCCTTCTAAAGAAAATATAAATTTCTCCTGATAACTCGGTGATGGAGAACCTCGGTAAAGTCTTGTTTGAACATGTGTTTGTCTATCTGGTAATAAGCATACCCTAAAAAAAATTTTAATATTAAATCATGTTTTCGAATTTTTAAATTACATGCGGCTTGGCAGACTACTTTTAAAATATAATTAATGATCCCGCAACTAAAAACAGAAGCAAAAGATACAGACAACTTGGAGTCTCGACAAATATGTAAAATATTAACTACTTCAAAAGTCAACGATTAAATAATTAATTAAATAATTTTTCTGATTTCTAACACTTGCCTAGCAAAAGTATCCTGTGCAGGTTGACCATCAGCAGTAACTAAGTCTCTGGCTTCTAGTACGCTTACAATTAGATCACCTTCTCCTCGACCGCTCCACCTTTCATGTTCCAGTCCAACACAAACGTGACCAACAATTGGAGCTTCATCTAAATCTCCTAAAGTTACACTCGTATCAGAACAAACACTTTCAAAACTAACTGCTCGTTGAAGGGTGGCTATATCAGGAGGAGGTTCTGGTTCAGGCAAGGAACTACGTCGAATGCCAAGTCCCAAGTCCATGAAGTCTCCCACCATATATCCCAAATACGATTCGTCCAAACTCTATTAAAAATAAATTAAATAAGTTTTTAGTTTAACACTCTCTGCAAGAAATGTCAATTACATCTCAAGATAGAAATATAATGTACCTGAGACAATCGTCGCTTCATTTGAACTTCTTCCAAAGCTGCATAATGATCATGACTACTTTTCCTCCTAAAATGTGAATTAATTTATTTCATTATATTTAGATCTACAAAAAATGATTCAAAAATGATTCTACACTACTATTCTTCTAGATAGTTATCAGCAAACAGGTGTAAAAAAAACTATATATTTTGGGAATTTATTTTATTGTTCTTGTGTAATAAAATATATCAGCCGTTCGCTCAAAGAACCACTTAAAACGGCATAAGTTTTTGACCAAAACATTTAAATTGTTTTTAGAAAAGAAGGGATTGTATCTTGCAGCTACATAAACATTAAACAAAATTGTAACTATTAATGTCAGCTACGCATTACCATTCGATTAAAATTGAAATAGAAAATCTCAGAGATAAATTAATTACATTACCTCAAAAATTAGATCAACAGACTATAGCAAATGCCAAGTTAGGTTTAGATAATATGCTAGATTTATTAGAACAAATTAAATCCCGTACTAGATTTAATCATTGTAAAGAAAAAAGTTTTGAAATGTTAAACTTAAATTGTTCTTTTAGCAATCGAAACATCTATGAAATGATTCCGTAACAATACGATTTTAGGCCAATCAAAAAAACTTAATTTGAAATAAGTCCGCAATAATCAGTTTTTAAATAATCTTGTTTTAATATGGTGCATCATCCTAATATAAAATGAGTCCGCAAAAGTCCGGAGTTTGTATACGTATAAAATCATCATTGTTGCTGACTTTGTACATAGACTAATTTCGGATTTTGACGGAATCATGTCGGATTAGGATTTTTCACCAGATTAAATCTGCATTCATGCAAATTAATACAGAATTAGCGTCATATTCCTCTCTCGCTAACGCTCGCGTGGTTGAAATTGTAATTCTTATTGTTTACTTATTGCAGTTCATTCATATATGTATTTGTCACATTAAGATATCATATTATTATGAACTCAGTTTTTTGATTGTATTAAAACCAGATTTTTATATCCTGTTTGTCGATAGTTTAGATACAAATTACGGATTACTCTGGATTGATTTTGTATGAAGTTTTTTGATCAAACTAAACTCATATTGTTGCGGATTAATTATGGGTTGATTTCATGTCAATTCAGGACTACTCTGGACTGATCTCGAATTTGTCTTTTCGTCCAAACTGTTTGCTGACTAATAAAGATAGTGTACTTTTAAAAATAAAATTCTTAAATTGTCAATTAATTTTTATCTTTACCTTGATAGTTCATTTGTTTCTAATTCAATATATTCCTGCACACCATTTAACCTCTCCATACTTTTTCTTCTTTGCTCTAAACTATTAAAAATATCCTAAAAATGGAATAAAATGGTTATAAACGATTATATAAAAACATGGAGAAAATATTAATCACTGATTGAGAAATAATTTTTTTAAATTCACTTAAAATCCGATTGAACACTGTACTCCAAAAACATCGATAGATTCTATTAAATTAAATCCAAAAACAGTTTCAAGAGCTAATCTATTTTAATTGAACATATCGATACTTAAGAAGTACGATAATTATTCTGCATTAACTTATTTCCCTATTGTAAATTCCCGTATGAGATCCCGTATAAGATCACTTATGGTTTCTCATATGAGATACTATATCAGATCTTATGAGAATTCTATATGAGATCTTACATAGGATCCCACATGGGAATATGTAGTAGTTATTTAAAAAAAGAATATGAGACATATTTTAGGTTTTAAACACAAAATATTTTTGCTTTATATAAAATGAATTCAAAATTTTGTCCGATTTTACGTATCTCTTACCGTTTTTGAGATATTCACAAATTTTATTTTTCAAATTTCGACCCCATATGGGATCCTATATGGAATCCTGTATGGATACTGATGAGATTCTTCTTACGAGATGTCCCATATTATGGGAATTAACAGTAGGGTTAAAAGTAATAATAGAAATTATAATTATTTCATTTACGTAAAGCGATTCAACTTTGAATTTAAACTTCAAGAGGTGACTTTGACACTCATCAGTAAAAAATATTGAGAAATAATTAATAACCTCTGATGTTCTTGTAAAGCTGGGATCTGTTAAATAGGGATGTTGATCTTGACTTAAGTCTCTAAGAAGCAATGGAGATGACGGAGGATCTTGCAAACTATTGTAAACCTGTAAAATTATATTAGTGTTATTTAATTCTACTATAATGTAAGACTATGTAGCAATATCTTACAATGGCTTCTGTTATTATACTTCGTATCTTACACTTAATATCAACTAATGCTTTGACCTACTAACAGTAATTAATATTATGTTTTTTAAATTTCCTCCCTGAAAAATCCGCTGACATCCTTTATGATAAAAGTAGTTTAAAAAGATACTCTTGTTTACTTTAAATAAAAATAAACCATTCTACAAAGCCGTAAATTTTTTACGATTGTTTATAGGAGAAAAAAGAATTGTGAGACGGGAAAATATTTTTTGACGTTATTTCGAGAAATAAATTATCAAATATCAGCGTACGGAAAGAGTCGATATTTGATCATATTATATCTTTGTTCAAGTCAGTGATTAATGTATTTTATTTTATAATAAATTTGTGTTCCTAGAAGTCCCTTAATCTTTTATTTTTATATTTTATATTCTTGGGTTCACCAATTTTCCTCCCTGTATAGTCTTTTGTTAATTTTAATTAATAAATTAACTGGCGTTCACATGCAATTATTATTTTATTGTCAAATATAGCCCTAGCAACGTCTTAATTGATTAAATAAATTTTTAACTATTTTTGTTAATCCTCCTCTCTGTTTTTACCTCAAGAAATTAGCACCGCTAATTCAGATAATTTAATAAGAAATATTTAAATTACAATAACTAGTAGGGGCAGTTAGTAGGTCGTACCTCTTGTGCTGTTCTTTGTGCTTCCAAATTAAGTTCAGGACTGTAAAGATCCGATCCTCGTTTTAAAGTGTCACTACTATTTGCTTCAGTTTGACTATCAATTATGTCTTGCATATGATCCAAAGAATCAAGAGTTTCGGTATTTACAGCTTGATCATGATCGTCAGATGTAAATGGAAAATTTTGCACCTGTTGTGCTGTTGATAAAACAGAGCTGAAAGTATATACAAAAAATTAACGGAATGATTTGACACTTTAGAAATATATATCTTATAAGTAGCTTCTTGTTGACAAAGAATGTATAATATTAGAGAGAATGGACATTTGGTAAGTTTTAGCGGAAAATTTATATATTTATCTAACAGCTTACTTATAGAACTCTGAAGCGTCGATGTAACTTTGCGAAGTTACCGATCTCAGAGCATTAAATATTCTTTCTCCAGTGGTGGGACTTCTTTTTCTCAATCTTGATTCAGAATTCGATGGATCAGGTGGAGCAGGTGGTGGCACTGGACTAGAAGCATTATCTACGACTTCATTCGGTGAAGGCAACGATTCAATATTTAAGAAAAGTTCATCATGCTCGTGATGGGTGAGCTGGTTATGTGTCATTTCATAGGTAGATCGATCTGGTAGACTTTGAATGTACTGTGACACTCGTTGTAAACCTTGTAACTTCGTAGGACAACTTTGTAAACTATAATTCCCAAGGGAATTCTTATCGATAGTCTTGCTATTTCGAAAGGGAATCATCTCGATGCTTTGCATTTTGCTCATTTTCTGAGTCAAGTTGTTAGATAAATCCTGAGCATTCTGTAAAATCTTTGAAACGTTTTGTGACCTGTACATTGAATCCATGATCAGCTGTGTTGTATTATTAGAACAGTTTTGTGACTCAAAATCACTGTTTAATCCTCTAGAGTCGTTTTTTAAATGTTGCCGCGCTGTATTATTTCTTTGTACTATATCATAACTACCATATGGCCGTGGTCCTCGACAAAAATGATCGTGATCATCATATTCCAAATTCAACTCGTGCTCTGTAATTGGTGCTCCTTCAACACTATATCTAATCTTTGCAGGTTCATCAACGTGATCATATTGTCTATAGGTACTATTTTCAACAGTTGATACTTCTTTTCTCCGATCTTTTTGAACATCAATATTATATCTACAATAAAAAATTAAGTTACAGTTGCAAATAAATATCTTAAAGGATTTTATCGACTAAAGACTATTCGATTACCTGTGATCAAAATTGGTAGGCCTCAAGTCAGACTGATTTTGAACTGCATACACAGCCATTTGAATGTTGCCTGGTAAATTTCTGCACGCATATGTGTCAAAGGCTATTTTACATTGCTCATTAGGTTTAAAAGGAGTGTAATTCTCAAATTCTGATCTCATTTGTTCTTCATAACCATTAATATGTTCATTTTGGAAGAGAAATACGGAAGGCTCTGTGGCATGTGAGGGAGGAACATTTGATATAAAGGGAGGAGGAGTTAGCGGACCAAGATTTGATTCTTGCATTCTGAGGTAATCTATAGTATTTGTAGCATGAAGAGGTGAAGGCCTAGGACGAGAAATTGGTCTCGGTTGTGGAGCTGGTCTTAATGGTTGCGGAGGTATCGCAGTTCCAGTTCCCAAAGGTGGATGAAGATCTCTGTCGACTGCTTCAAATCTATAAATGATAAAAATTCATTTTAATTATTTTTTCACGTCGTTCAATATTCCAATAGTAATATTAAATAACATATTGTAATTGTGTTTTCATAAAATAACCTTGTGAACGATCCTTGAGCATCAAGTTTGAGGTCACTGTCACTGTGTAATAAATGATGCGATGCACTTCCATTTTTGCGATATATACCTGGCACAGCTTGAGCAGTAGGGTGCTGTGCTTTCACGAGACCAACCTAATAGTATAACAATAAATCATATTCAATGCTTTATCTGGAACTTAAAAAAATAATTACAGCCCGTTTGAAATTTACAAATATTAGTCCAATTTATTTTAAACAAATTAAAAAATTCCTAAATAATGGACGCTACCTAATCTTAACCTATAACTATGTTAACATATATTTTAACAATAATTAAAAAAATTTTGTAAGTTACAAATTTTTTCTTTTCGTCAAAGCTTTACCTTTTCTTCTCTCGGCGCCCACAACCATGATAATCTTTGCCTCCATTCTTCACAAATGCTCCAAATATTTCTTACTCCGCATTGCCAACTAATGAAGTATCTATTCAGGTAAAGGGCTCTGCAGCAAATCAAATATAACGGAATTTAATGAATGCGCTTGAAAAGTACTTAAACATTTTAATCTGACTATACTAACCAATATTGGCTAAATATTATATGACAATATTTAGGCAATATTACCACAATATTAATTATATCCGCTTTAAGATAATATTACCTGATATACTTCAAATACAAAACTCACTTTTTGCAGAGTACAAGCGCTACACCAGCAATAAGAATAATAGCTAAAGCAGCTCCTACACTGGTAAGAACCCAGCCCATTATTTTCAAATTTTGATTCCGATCACAAATATAAAATTATGTGTTAATCCTGAAACACAAGAATGGAAATATTTTCGTAATTTATTTTTAGGGAAATGAAAACTTAAAGATTACACAGGCACACAAAAAATAAAAAGTTGTTTGGCCGAAACACTACACTAGTCTATTTTTATGTATTTTTTCACGCTGAATCCGAATCCGAAGTCAGAATTATCAGATTGGCTCTTATTTTTGAGATAAACTCAAAACACTGCTCAGAAAGAAAAATAAAATCAAAAAGTTAAAAAATTTTTGAATGTCACTGCGATAGTGTAATTCCATGTATTTTTTGTCGCTGAATCCGAATCCAAAGTCAGAATTGTTAGATTCGCTCAAATTTTTGAGATAATTGCAAAAAAACACAAGTAACAAAAAACTCAAAATACTCAAAATCAGTTTTTTGGAATTATCTTCAAAATTTGAGCCAATCTGTCAATTATGACTTCGAATTCGGATTCAGCGTGAAAAAATACATGAAAATGCACTATCGTAGTGTTTCGGCAAAAAAATTATCTGTGCCCCTAATTCAGAATTTTTATCAGTTTTTGGCGATTTTAGCTCAAAGAAATTTTTTTTTGCCGAAACATTACGATAGTGCATTTTCATGTATTTTTTCACGCTGAATCCGAATTCGATGTCAGAATTGACAGATTGGCTCAAATTTTGAAGATAATTCCAAAAAACTGATTTTGAGTATTTTGAGTTTTTTGTTACTTGTGTTTTTTTGCAATTATCTCAAAAATTTGAGCGAATCTAACAATTCTGACTTTGGATTCGGATTCAGCGACAAAAAATACATGGAATTACACTATCGCAGTGACATTCAAAAATTTTTTAACTTTTTGATTTTATTTTTCTTTCTGAGCAGTTTTTTGAGTTTATCTCAAAAATAAGAGCCAATTTGATAATTCTGACTTCGGATTCGGATTCAGCGTGAAAAAATACATGAAAATAGACTAGTGTAGTGTCTCGGCCAAACAACTTTTTATTTTTTGTGTGCCTGTATTATTTAATGGCAATAAAATTAGAGATGCAAGGATGGAACAGTATATTAAGCAACAAGGGAAAAATGAGAATGCGCCCTCTAGCGAGCAAAATCCAATGGACCATAGCAAACGAGCAGCTAAGTAGCGCTCTTTCTTCACCTTACTAACATCCAGAATGAAGGATACGTTTTTGACTCACTTTTAATGAATTAGTTTAAAATCATACTATTCTTTTGTCATAAAAATGTTAAGAAAGTTTGTTATGAAATTGGAAATAATTTATTCGAGAAGAAATTGGTAAATCGATTTATCCGACTATGTTAAAGAAAAAGAAAAATTTAATTTAAAAGATGTAAGGAAACACTATTGGTTGGTTGCGGAGTCAGTAGATTTTGACTAAATATTATTATTTTTGTTTATTAAATTTTAAATAAGTACGAGAATTAATTAAATCTTCTTCTTTCTATTTATCAAGTAATTTGTTTCGCTTCATTAATTAAATAAAATTTATCAATATTTCTAACAACTGAATTCTATCAATTTCTTTGAAAATATATGTTAATTTTCACGAACCCATTGCCTGCCGGGTCATTAATTTAGAATTTCATTTTCTTTCTTTTTTACTAAATATGGCTTTTAATAAACAATTAACTATATTTTAGAGAAGTCAGGCGCTCTGTAAATTGTATAAATAAACGGTTCGCCTTTATGGCCTGCCATAAATTAAATATTTCCAGAATATTCTATTTATTTACTTAATTATTAATTTTACAATTAAATAAACGATAGGTTATAATTTTGTAGCACGAGTAACAAACAATGTAGGATATGAAAATCACCAGCGTTTATAAATTGAAAAATTTTTAATCATAGAGAGTTTCCAATGTTCATACCACAGGTGTTAGGGAACTGATTCTATAGCGTCGATTCTTTTTTAAAATCTTTTAGTAACCATTTTGACATAATTTATTCTTACCCTCACACCAACGGATATTTCAGGATATCCGTCTTAGGAATATTTGGAAATTTTCATATCTTATATATGTATATTCTTATTTCTAAGGGCAACCCTATAGCCATAGAACGTCCGTAGGGTGTCCTAAATATTCGGATGCAGTTAGGGTAGTAAATGACTATTTGGTAATATGAAACTACTAATTAATTTAATAGACGAATCGCCGCAGTTAAATTAGTCAATATAACTTATTTTAGAAGTATTATTTTCGATTTAGAAAAGAGAGTATATATAATTTATAATAATGTCAATTGGTGTTAACAGTTGTTCCCATTTTTTTCATCGATTGAAGACATCGTCGCTGGAGACAAAAAGAACGAGAAACCACTTAATGGTTTACAACTTTATCACGAGACTTTGCACACAGTATTCAGTGCAAAATATATAAAAATAGTAGCATAAATAAACTTGAAACAGACAAAAGATAGAACAATAAAGCATCACATCATTTATACATAAGTATCACTGTCACCGTTCAAAGTTTGCGATACTTACAAAGCGAAACATCACAAACACATTGCTTGTAACATCAATATAACAATTATTTTAAAAAGAAACATCAGAACTGGCATTAAACAATCTTCTTTATGTCCAATATATCCCAAAGACAATATAAAACTAGTAACAATTAAAATAAAATTGTCTAAAGTATGTCCTATGCAGCTCAGTAATATATGTTATACCTCTGTAATAAACAGTAATATTTTGTAATAAGTGTAATAATTGGAATAATATTGGTAATACGTGTAATATTAATGTAATCGGGAGTCAAGTGTAGACTTTTTTAATTAGTAAATTCCCCCCGTGTAATTACAGAAAAAAACTGTGAACAATTCGAAACCTGGTTAAAATTTTAGACTTACTTCAGATTAAATACAGACAGATCAATCCGGATTAGTCCAGAAATTGTACAAAACAATCCGAAAAGGAACCGTATTAATGAGCAATCATTCCGGATGAAAAGATAAATCCAACATTAGTTCAGAATAGTCCGAAATTGACATGAAATATATCCGCATTTAGCCCGCAACAATTTGATTTTAGTTAGATCAAAAAACAAGCCAAAATGAGTCCAGAATAATTCAGAATTTGTATGTAAAATATCCGCAAATAGTATGCAACAATCCGGATTCAGTATTGTCCAAAAAAATGATTCCGACATGAGGCCGTAATAATCTGAAATCTTTATTCAATTCAATTCGGATTAAGATGTTATACAAGATTAAGACCGGATTGTTGTTATCTAATACCGAATTTCTTACATACAGACTCCGAATTATTCCGGACTCTTTTTAGGTTCAGTTTTTTGATCGATCGAGAATCGAATTGTTATGGACTTATTTTATATAAGTTTCGAACTAATTAGGACTTATCTCATATTTGTTGTTTTGACCGCAATAATTTCGGAATATTTTATATCATTTTTGGACTGTTTTCGTACAATCTATATATAAATTCAGTCCATTTAAAAATCTGAATCCGAAATGAGTCTGATATCCGATATTCTGTATGTATTAAGTCCACTACAATCTGGATTTAGTTAGATTTTTCTGCTTTTATTACAGTTCCTACTCATACCGCCAGGTGCAGTTCTCTCACAGTTGAGATGAGTTTCAAGTTCTATAAGAACTGTTCACTGTCGGCGTAAAGAACATGTTGCCATCTAACCAACAGTTACTATTTTGGTTAATATTTTGGAATGTTGAATTAATCCGGAATTAGTCTAGCTAAATCCGCAATTTGCTCGTTTGGGAAAATTGGAAATCCGGTCAAATGCGAAATTAATCGAATCATACAAAACTAAAGAATGCAAAATTACTTCTATTCAATCCTAAATTAATCCGGCCAGTGTAATCAGTAAATCTAGAATGTGCATTCACTAGTTACGTTTGATTAAACTGGCTTCGGATTAGACCTGATTAATTTCGGATTCACTACTTACACAAATCGAGCAAATTTCGCTGATTTAGCTGGACTAATTCCGGATGACAAAAGCTTGACAATAAACCTGACTGGGACTAATTCCAGATTAGTCCATAAACAGTCCGGAATTTTTAGCAGGGGTCCTAACTAGTAGCACTAATGTTTAAAAGTTATTAAAATAATTACTGTCAATATTAACTTAATTTGGTATGATTTATTTCATAATTGCTAAAAGATATTAAAAATGTTCATTTATCGAATTCTGCTAAAAATTAACTTTAAAATACTAGAAATACTGCCTTAGAGTCTTCATGTGTTAATACGTCTGCCTGACGTCATGGTTTTACAAACCGTACTTGCAGTAGTATGCACATTAATTAATTCAAATGTAATTTAATAAATATTTTTCACAAATCAACTAATTTATCATTTTTTTCATCAAACTACAGTAATTAGTTGCAATATTTTGCTTTAAATCAAACTTAAGTGAAACCTGATCAAATTAGTTTAAAGATTGATTGAGAAAATCCGCCAGGGTATATAAACAACTCTCACTACTTTTTATAATTTATTTTTAAGCTAATATTTTAGGGATATGTTATTCTCATACAGAACAACATTTTTATACCAAAGTATTAAGTCAATCCAATAACTAAAAATTTTTGGTGTTTTTTCTTAGAATTACATGTGAGAATAATTAATAATTTAAGTTGTCTAAAGTTATATTATTACTAAGGAGAATGAATTGTAATTTAAATATTATTATTTATAAGAAATGATAATAATAATGATATTAAAATTTTAATTAGTTCTCCTTAGTAAATAAAAATTTACATAATTTAATTTGCATTATTACTTTATCGAGCAAAATTCGGTAATTAGCTGGACTAATTCCAGATGACAAAATAGATCAACATCTTTCTTCTTAAAATTTACATTTAATTTGTTATAATTATAATAATCATACATCACTTAATAAAAGTTATTTTTTAACTTTAATTGCAAACATTTATTGCTTTATACTGCACTATACAGATTAATTCCCTTTATTTTCACGCCTAAAAAATTTCCCGAACATAATACAATTTCTGCATTAAGAAATCATTTCTATTCACCTTTTCTTGAATTTAAAAAACGACGGTCAATATAAAAACCGCTATCGTTCAATTCTTTCTTTTTACTAGGGTGTAAATACATTATATATGAGAGGACAATCAGGAATTTAAACAAAAGTAAAACAATGCGGTGTTATCTGACCAGTTCAGCAGGCACAGGGAATCATTGAGCACGTTTTTCGTAATTATCGATCCCACCCGTGCTTTCTCGAGCATATTCAGTCGGTCGACTTTCAGGTTCATCACAATATCTCTACATTTAAATATTATATAAAAAAAAATGTTTACAGGCAAAGCAAAGAACATAATTATTGCAATATCATCAACTTTAATTAAAATTAAGAAATTGTCAAGCATATAATATGATACACGTATGTTATGATATCTTACCCTACTTGATAAAATCCATTAAATTAATTAGTCCAGGTTGACAGTCAATGTGAGTTATCTTAAACTCTTTTCCTTTATCTCGGCACTAACTCGCGAGACAAGAATCCCAAATAGCTTTTCGGTTAGAGTCATCGTTTTTACAGCCCCGATTTTCGCAAGCACAAAGCTTACGAGCTTTGAGTGACCCTCGCTCGCCACACAGACGAGCCTGGACTAAGGGGTGCTTGTGACTCCGACAGGTGGCGCTAAAAACTCTAAACACCCCGTGTATCTAAAATATATATATATACTCACATTATATAGGGTAAGGTGCCAAACGTAAGCGAAAGTGGATCTCGACCTAACATTATTTACAGCTCTAAACGAGCTTTGTAATTAATAATTTTACTTAGCCAAAATAAATCTAAGTAGGGAAGAGGTAATATTAAATGAATGAATATTGTACATATAAATTTATTTATAATTTAAATATTTTATTTCCAATAATATTAATAACATAGTGTTACAAAAAATAAAATTACTTTGAATCGGACCTACCCTAATTTGTTCGTCTTGAAAAACTGAAAAGAATGGTGTATATTAAATCACTCAAATACCCCAAAAATTTAATTTAAGAGCAAAAAACCCGTTTTTTGTAGTTTTTGTATGAAATAGCATGTAATTTCGACATTTTTGGTCCAAATTCAAGGAGTATTATTCAAAAGTAGTAGTATTATTCACAGCAGTTAAAAAAAATATGTACGTCAGAATTAGTATTGTTCGGACTTAAATAGGAGCCAAGAATATTCCTCACTTAAAGTAAATGGGAAATATTCTTACAATAAATAATATATTCTTATTGTAAGAATATTTCACATTTAATTTAAGTGGGGAATATTCTTGGCTTCTATTCAAGTAGGCCGAACAATACTAATTCTGATGTACATTTTTTTTTTTTAACTGCTGTGAATAATACTACTACTTTTGAATAATACTGATGTAAATGGGAATGATTTCCCTTTAAATAGTATTATTTTTGTAGATTAATCTTCGAATGGTACCAACTAGTATAGACAGATTTTTTTTGGATCGCTAATAACGAGTATGATGTCAGATTTTAGAAATTCAAAATGGCAAATCCAATATGGCTGACATTTTTGAAAATTTTTCTTATTATTTAGCGGATTTGATTGAAAATCGTTACTCCTGGGTTTTTGAAATCGCTGGTCACGAATCTAAAGTCAGAGACCACCAAAAGCCACAAGTACTGATTTCCAGAAACCTAGTACAACTTCTTGAATTTTTAATCGCCATATTAGAATCGCAATTTTGAATTTTTGATAACAAACTTCAGATTCGTGATCAGTGACTCCGAAAACCTCCGTGTAACAATTTTCAAGCGAATCCGATAAATTAAAAAAAAAAATACATAAATATCCGTCATTTTTAAATTTTCAAAAACGGACTTTGGATTCATAATCAACGACCCAAAAAAAAAAAATGTTGAAATATAAAATTTTCTTTGCAGGATTAAATGAACCGTTTTGGTATCGATTTCTGCAATTTAATTAAACCATAGGAGGGTTAAGGAGTTACATAATTTTTTTTATCAATTTCACCAAATTGTTATTGAAATGAAGTAAATTTAACAAATGGAATATGTTTTGAGGTATTTTATACTATCGATTACAAAACGGTGACGTTCGAAAACGAGACGATACGAATGCGTCGCACATTCATAGTGATTGAAAATAATGAGAAAAATGAATAAAAATTACTGTTGAATTGAGTAAATTAAATATTGATTTTTCAATATTTTACCTTATTTTACCTATTTTACCTTTACAAAGGTTTTTCGAACTAAGGTTAGAATATATAAATAAATAAATTCAAATTATCCTCGTTTTTTATTTACTATTATTAAATAATTTCATAATTTTTTGACTTTCAAGATACAAAACATTTTAGTTGTCAGCAACTCACAGAAAATAACTTTGGACGCAGTTATTAAATAACCACGTTACACTTTGAAAACCATAAATGATTTGATTGTAATATAAAAATATTTTTTATTTCTATGCAAATACTCTCCTTATTTTATTAATCAAAACATCAAAAAATTATTCTACAATGTACTGATTCTAAAGAAAATTCATTTGAGCAGTAGAAATTGCTATTATTTTTGTTTAAATAAACTATCAGTAACGATAATATCTTTAAATTTCTTTCCTCCTGCAGGCTTGACAGATAAATGAATACTAACACCATTTTCGTGCCATTTTGATTTCAAGAGTACACAGCATCCTTTACCTGTTAATTTAAAAATGTTTTAGTTTTATCTTTCTATTACTTCAGAAGGGAAAAACTCATGAAATAATATAAAATTGTAGTTTTCTTTTTATATCATTATCTCTATAGAAGTACCAATGAATGAAATTTTTATTTGAATTTAAAATAAAATTTGAAAAACTACGTTTTAGATGCGTTTCTTACCCTCAGTAAATATTTTTTTAATTATTGTTAAACAAAATACTTACTCACTAATCCTCGTTCATGAGCTGCAGCTAATTGATTAATGACTCTCCTTTCAACTTCATATTTAATGGAGCGGGCTCCATAATGTGGATCATATCCATCCGCCAATGCTGACAAAACTTCCCTGTCCCATTTTAATTCTATTCCATGTCTCTCTTTAGCTCGTACCGACCATGATTCAAGTTCTCGCGAAACTAACTGTATAAGCTCACCTCGAGAAAATGGTAAGAAATAAACTATTTCATTGATTCGTCCTAAAAACTCGTCCCTTCGAAAGTGTGATTTTAAAATTGGTCGAACCTAAAAGAAAATCCAAATCAATTATTGAAGCAAAATTAAAAAAAAATAATACAACTTACAACTTCATCTTTAAAATTTCGTGAAATTTCAATGTGTTCCAATTCTTCATCTTTACTTTCTTTTTTTTCAAGTCTTTGGGAAATTATACGTTCAGCTTCCTCTCTTAATTGCATTCCGTGTTCTGCTATTTCTTCACTTGCTAAATTAGATGTCATAATAAATATTGCCCCTTTACAATCAATGGTTTTACCTTTTCCATCAGTCAATCTACCCTAATAAATATTTCAACGATATAATTATAATTCATGGAACAATTAATTGACAGAAAAAATAAGTCGAATTTTAGAAAATTATAAAATACCTCATCAAAAAGTTGCAGTAAAACAGTTAATACATCTGGGTGAGCTTTATCTACTTCATCAAATAATACAACAGCATTTGGAAATTTTTTCAACTGTTTAGTTAATTGACCTCCATCATCATGACCTACATATCTGTTAATAATTATTTTTACTCATTTTTTTATTGATCCAGTAGTTATTCCAATAATTATCTCAGTATCCCAATAATTATCCCAGCTAAAAATTCCTGTACAGGATCCTTAAAGGATTCCTAGAGGTTCTTACATAGGATTTTTAAAGGTTCCCTGAGGGATCCTGTTAAGAATCCTACGCAGGATATTGGAACAGGGATCCTGCGTAGGATTCTTAACAGGATCCCTCAGAGAACCTTTAAAAATCCTATGTAAGAACCTCTAGGAATCCTTTAAGGATCCTGTACAGGGATTTTTAGCTGGGATGCCAATAATTTATAAGTTTGTAACCTTATCAAAAAAGTTATGAATATAAAATCAATTTTTATTTTTACCCAGGTGGAGCTCCAATAAGTTTTGCAACTTCATGTTTCTCCTGATATTCAGACATATCAAGTCTAATAAAGCTTTCTCGTTTATTTTTATGCATGTAATTAGCCAATTGTTTGGCCAATTCCGTTTTACCAATTCCCGAAGAGCCAAGAAATAAGAAGACTAATGGATGATCTTCATCTATCCAACCGTTTTCCTTTCGTCGAATGGCTGAAATTTACTTTTCTTTATTGAAATAATTATATTCCCTTCGAAAACTTAATAAATATATATAAAAATAAAAATTCGACCCCTGGAAGATATTTCCCCACAGTACCTAAAGTTTCATCAATATTGCCAACATTGTCTTAATGATGCCATTATTTCTGCAATTTTAGAATGTTGAGGCATTGTTGCGAATATTGTTGCAAGTTTAGGTGCTGTGAAGGTTCAAATAATATACAAAAATTTCTTATGTTAGTTCTTCTTATGTAAGAGAAGGTTAAATAAATATTTAGCATTAATAATAATTTATTTGAAAATAAAAAATGTTACTTACTCGAAGCCACAACAGAAATTGCACCCTCTTGACCAACAATGTATTGTTTTAATCTTTGCTCTAAAGGAAATCTTCGTCTTTCTTCTGCTTCCTAAATCAAATTACCACAATGTGAAAAAAGAATAAAATTAAAAATAAACTTTATTTATTAAAGAAAAAGATTGCATTAATAGCGCTATTACCCTTTCTTTCATTATTTCATCGTATTTGATATTATATTTTATAAGTAATTCTTTAACCTCGCCCTCTCTAGCATAGTCAACAGCACGATAGCCTTGTTCACTTTGAACTGAAGGATTTGCTCCTGAATCCAACAAAACTTGAACACATTCTTTTGAATTTGACAATGTTGCATAGTGTAATGCTGTAAAACCTCTAAAAGATGCTCTGTTATTTAAATGGTCTGAAAATTCCTCCTCACGTTTTACAGCAACTAAAAGAATTAAGTTTAACATTTTTTTAAATTAGAAATTAACATCATAAAAAAAATATCTGAAGTAAGATTGTTAATCGATAATTTACCTTCTGTTGGATGTAATCCTTTCTCTACAGCTGTTTTATAAATACTACTAAACTCATCGCCTAAATTAACATCAGCTCCTTTGGATATTAAGAACTTAATGACTTCTGCATTACCATTTATTGCAGCAACATGTAAAGCAGTCCAACCAAGAGGGTGCTTCAAATTAACATCAATACCGTCAGCTATAGCCTACAATTGATTTTAATTAAATTTAACAAATTTTAAACTGTGAATCCAATATCTTAAAAAAAACTATTATATTGAAATCTGTATATAAATATATATTAAGGTGTCTGTTATTTTCCATAAAATGTAATTTCTTAGGTCGTTGGCCGGAATTCATTTTAGAATGTGAAAAAATGAGTTGTCTTCTATTACTAGTTCTGACATTCAGCTATAAGCGAAAAGTTATTTAAGAAGGGAAGAAGAAAAATCGTACGTAAAATAAAAGTTGTTAATGACGACGCAGAAAAGGGAATCAAATTAATTTCTTATTATTATCAGAATAGATTCACCTACAACGAATAACAAACAAAAAATTTGTCATTCAACAAAAGAAGATAATAATTTACGAATTACGATAATGTTCCGCGACTACCGACCGACACAAAAAAACGTGGCGGGACACTTGCTTAAATCATAGTTTTCATCATCTGAACGTCACAAAAACCAAAAAAAAATAAAGAGAAAACAAGTAATTCATGCTTTCATATTGTTTCAAATATTGATAAAAATACAGGGATTTTTTTTGAACCATTAATCCGAGTCACAGTTGCTGCAAACGAAGAAGCTGTTCCTCATGTCAGCACATTTTAGGTGTACTTAAATACACTCGATTGAATTATTAGCCGTCATCATGAGTGTCCCGAATCAGTATTCGACGGTAATGATGATGGACAATCGAGTCTATCCCACAATAATGTATTGTGTTTTGGGAATTTCGAAAGAAACTTAAATACTAATAAATTAAAGCACTTAACTTTCACAGAACTCTGAGAGTATTTATTTTATAACACTTTTCCTTATACTAAATTTAAAACTTTCACAATTGATATAATCTGTCATTTTCAGTGTATCGAAAGATTTTACGTCAAAAAAGTGCTTATCATATAGAAAAGCTTTAGCATAATAAGACTTCACTTTTACAATTGGGCTGAAGAACGTAACGTTAAAACTTTAACGAAATCAAAACCTATTCCCTGCATATTTAATTGAACAAAATTATCAAAAGAACATAAAAGTACAACATGACAATGTATACTAAAAATAATTACAGCAAAAATGACTGTATTGACTAAGCAGAAACACATTGGAAGAAAATAACTAAAGATTCTTACCCACTAAACACTAAAAATCGCTATTTCAAGAGTTTATTAAATTTTGTTCAACTTTTGCACATTAACAATCGAAAGGGCGTAAAAAAATGAGTCAAAAACCAGAGGAATTATTTTTGAAGAAGCGCCGGAAAGAGATAAATAATAACAATTACTTAACGATTTACCGAATCCGATCTCTAAAAATCGCGATTTCCAGAGTTTTTTAAAATTTGTTCCACTTTTTGCATATTACCAATCGAAAGGGCGTAAAAAAATGAGTTAAAAACAGGAAGAATTATTTTCCAAGAAGCCCCGGAAATAGGTAAAAAATAACAATTACTTAACGATTTACCAAATCCGATCTCACTTTTACATCAGAATAAGCAGCATTGTCAACTTATCTGTTTGAAATATCACAGTCAGGGTGTCTACTAAAAATCTGAATTAAAATTCCAGGACTTTTCCAGGACTTTTCAGGACAAATTTCTTATTTTTCCAGAACATTAAATTGGATGACCTTAAGGAATAAAAAAATTTTTAGTTTAACTATTGTTTTCAGAAATTATTAAAAAATTAATTAATTACTCAAGTAAATTTTCATTTTACTTATTTAATGAATTTTTTTTCAACTTGATTGACAAAATTAGAAATTTTTGAAAATTTAAAAGCAAAATATAAAAAATTCAAGGACAAAAATTAAAATTCCAGGACTTTCAAGGACATTTTTTCAAATTCCAGGACATTTCCAAGACTTCCAGGACTTCCAGGACTAGTAGACACCCTGACAGTGTCCCGCCACACCCGATAAGGCCCTATAAAGTTTTTTTAACCCCTGCGTGCCTGAGCTGGGTCCCTCGGACCCAGACAATTTGCTTTTCCATCTACTTTTATTTAAGAAAATACTTTTTCAAAATCGTTATCCAATTAGATAAGCTGATACTATAACGTACATTTTAAACAATATGTGAGCATAAAATATTGAATATCCTGTTATTAAAATCTTGTTTTTTATTGAATTAAAGCAACTGGGTCCCTCAGGCACACACGTCAAAAACTGAACTCAGGCACGTGAGAGTTAAAGCCTTTTCGGAAAAATTATAAAATTTGCCGTTAAATGGTCCTATACCGAAGTCTTTTCGATAAATAGAACCGAAGATATGATGTGTAATTTGTGTAATTTTCATTTTTAGCGAATTTTCATTGTTCAACTTTGATGGATTACAATTTCTAGACAAGTGTTTAGAAAAATTTGAAATTTGTATTAAATGAAAGCTTGAACTTTTTAATCTTACTTTTGCAAGTGGTCTCTCAATTTATATTAGTTGATTTTTTTATTATTGGGAAATTGATAAATGAAACATTATTTTTATAACAAAATTATAAACAAGTAGAGGGACCTTTATGTTAATTTCATGAACATTTTGCTTTCTCATTGTGTGAAGCAAAAAAAAAATAAATTTCTTTAATTCATTTCATTGATTTAATTTGTTTTATTCAAAACATTTCGAGTTACAAAATGTTTTATATTAATTAAACTTTTTGAAAAATTAAGAAAATTTTAATTAATTTTGGGTAAAACATATACTTTATTTATACCAATCAATTCGTTTCAATGCAAGGAATACAATTATTTTATGTATAAATTTTTAGTTTTTTGTGTTGTAAATTAAAGAGACATAAGATGTTATATGCTCGTTTTAGCCAACGTTTCGGCCTCTGGATTGAGTGCCATCATCAGGACTTTTTTTATTTATTAATCTTCAAATAAATATATTATAATCTGTACATATATACAATTATTTAAATAAAAACATTATAAAAATAAAATTATTTAACACAAATTATACAAAGAACAATTTACTGTTCATTTTTTTCTCAAAAATTTTTATTTAAAATAGTAAAAGACTTATCAACAGATTATTATTTAATTACTTATTGTTTATATAATTTTCTCAAAGATTTTAAATTATTTTTATTAATGAACACACGTATTTCCAATGATAAATTCCATATGTAATTTACTAGTGGTATTGTTTCTGTTGAGCTTATACATTTTTAACTTGCACTTAATTTTTACATAAAAAAATTTAACAGCTCTGATTTGATTAAACGTGTATATTTGGCGAACACGAGCAGCTAGGATTTCGTTCTAAACGGATTTTGACACTCTGAGGGACTACCCCAGTAAATGAAAACTAATTCAGTTGAATTAAAATGAATACACCCTGGGCTTCAGTGAATCCCGCTTAGCGACAAATTCTTCTGAATTCGATAAAGCTGTATTCGACTTCCAAACTCTCCACCCGTACTAATTCAATGAACAAACTTTTGAGCTTTAATTTTTTTTCAATTCGTCAGCACGAATTCAATAGACGAGTTGGTCTTTTTGTTTGAATTCTCAACCGAAGAAAACTCATTGGTACGAATTGAATTGAATATACTTCTCTGAATCTTGCTTAGCGACAAATACGAATTGGACCTTGCCAAAAAAAGTTAATTCATTTCAATTCATCTGAATTAGTTTTTTTACTGGGTAATTCAAAAAAATTTCAAACTAATTCAAACCTCACTTGCCAATTTTGCATTCATTTTTGTAAAACCTATTCACCTCAGGAGCCTAGTATGTTTAATCAGACTCATATCCCAGTAAAAAAAAGTAGTTCAGATGAATTAAAATTAATTACATTTTTTGGCAAGGTCCAATTTTCGAATTTGTCGCTAAGCGAGATTCACTGAAGCCCAGGGTGTATTCATTTCAATTCAACTGAATTAGTTTTCATTTGGTTGGATTATACACTGAAAAAAAAAATTTATTTGATTCAAATACCGATGTATTTGATTATTATCAAATAAATATTTATTTGAATCAAATATATAGTATTTGAATCAAATATTTCAGTATTTGAAGCAAATACAATTTATTTGATTCAAATAAGAAATATTTGATTCAAATACTATATATTTGATAATAACCAAATACACCGGTATTTGAATCAAATAAATTTTTTTTTTCAGTGTATTTATGGATAGAAAAAAATGTTTTCTGCATTTGAAAAAAAAAATTTAATTTGAAGGACTACATAGTTTCTTCCATGAGGAAGCAAAATGAAATAATGTTTCATTTATCAATATTCCAATAATCAAATATATTAAATTTTATAAAATAATTGCCAAAAATGAATTGTATGGATATGAAAAATCATTATTACAAATTTTACGACTTTTATAAAAATATTTCGTAATTTTAATTTGAAAATTTTTGATAAAACAATGCTTCCTCCAAAAAGAGACAATGAAATATTTTAAGAGTTTATCCAAAAAAAAAACAAAAAAATTTAATACGACTTTATTATAATTATTGAATACCCTTTTAATATCTTGAATGTTCCCATACTGTGCTGCCTTGAAGAATCGTTTTTCTAGAAAAATAAATACGCTAATTAAAATCTTTATCACTTTTGGATTATAATATATAAAACAAATTAAAAAATAATTACCTTTACTATTATTAGAACCATCAGTTAGAACTATTCCTACACAAAGGCTGCTGAAAATATACATCAATTTTTTCGAATTTCTGCTATCTGAATACGAAGAATAATCTTCTCTATTATATTTATAGTTATTTACTTGAACGATCGAAATTAGACGTGAAAAATAATTTAAAATAGGTACAGTGCCAATAGTTTCGTGTAAAGGTGAAATCATATGTCTTGAACGAAAATAACATTTTTCGTTATTCAGTTTAATTAATATATTAGGTTTATTAGTTTTTCTTGATTTTAAAATATTTAAAAATAATTTTAAACTTTCCTTTTTGTTTATATTAACACAACTTTTTAGGCATTCCAAGTATAACATTTTTAGGTTAATTTAAAGTAAACCACGTGACTTTGGAAATTAGATTTTAAACTTTATTATATTTAATAAATAATTTAAACTTTCATCCTGTTGACAAATAAATAAACTTCCGCACAATGAGCAAATGCATATTTTTTGAAATTATTTCAATGCCATCATTTACTTAACAATTTCATCATCTGTCAATAGGCCAACACTAAACATTCAAATCACTTTCAAAACAAAATAAAGGCGCACACAAAAAGAAAAAAAGTCGAATAATGGTGCCTTTTCATGAGATAAATGTTGCAGAGGTGACATAAATATCATCTATCTTTTTCTATCTCATGCAGTTTACGTTACTTGCTGACGTGATGCACAAGACTGTTGGTCCGCATTCTAGATAGTTTTATAGTTCAGGGATTTTACTTAAAATTTAAGAACATTTGATTTTGGTGTTGATCAACTATCAAAATATCAAATTGAAACCAATTAGAACAGTAATATTGCCATTTAAGCAGAAGAAAGGAAAAATAATATTTTAACAGTTTTCTTCAACCTGTGAAATGCAGTCATCAATTATTCGGTGGAACAATGTTGTTTTAAATCCTAACCTAAGTCGTTGCCTTTGTACTACCGGTATTCAATTTAGTAATAGAGAAGCCAGATTTTTAAAGAAAATGATGTCTACTGGTAAAAAAAAGTACGTTTCTTTATTTAACTACTTCTGCATGAAATAACCACCATTTGGTAATAAAAGTCCTATTTTGACAAGACAGTTCGCAAACTTAAGTGAAGCAGTAAATTTAATTTAATTAAATTTCTAAGTTGACAAAAACAACCTCGGAAAATCCTGAATAATAAATGTTAAAAAATTTAAAGCAATAAAGAGGCACGTGTAAAAAACTAAATCTTTGAAAAAATATTGTTTGTGGAACAATAATAAAAAATTATCATTTAACAGCACGAAGCTAAAGTATAGGTTTATGATAAACGATTTTTAAAGAAATAATTTTTTAAAATGAAAAATTCTATAATTTTTTGCCAAAAAAATATTTCTTGTATTTGAATGGGTTTCATAACAAAAACGATAACATTCGGAGAAATGGATTTTAATAAAATTTTCTCCAACGTTTTGAAATCACACTGATTTCCTCTTCAGGGAATCTAATCAAAAAAATATAAAATTAAATTAAAAACAAAAATACAAAGAAATTAAATTAATATGAGACGAATTAATAACAAAAACAAAAATACAAAAGGTTAAATAATATATACTAGCAAAATTAAACGCGCGCAAGTGCGCCAAATTGAGTATTTAATTGTTTGTCATAAAGAAATTAAAGATTAATATTATCAATAATAATTTAATTTATTAGAATATTATTACATATTAAATGATAATAAAGAAAATTATATGTTTACAGGCCTCGGATTATACGACTTTTTCCGACTTTTTTCAAAAATACGACTTTTTATCGACTTATTTTAATAAAATGTGACATTTATTTTTTTACATTTGAAAAAAATGTAAATAAAATACATTTTTTTAGTATAAAATGTAGATCTTCTTCAGATCTTCTTCAATTCAATTATTTAACAAATTTTGAACTAAAATGATTCTTCACTAAATTAATTATTTTTAATAATTTTAATGAAATACATCACAAATTCAAATATATCAAAATTATTTTTCAATTAAAATTTTTATGAAATTTAACAATTGTTTATAATTTAAAAAAAAATATCACAATAAAATTGAATTATTTTTTAAAAAATTTCAATTCAAAATAAACTAAAATCCAATTATTACAAGAAATTTTAATTCAAAATCAATTAAAATTCAATAATTATCGAAAATTTTCAATTAAAAATTTAATTATTTACCAAGTTTTCAATTTAAAATGAAATAAAATTCAATTATTTTCTACTATTCAAAATTAATTATCCAAATTTTAAATCAAAAATGAACTTAAATTAAATTATTATCCAAAATATCAATTAAAATTCAATAATTTCCCAAAATTTTCAATTAATTTATTTTCCAAATTTAAAATCAAATAAAATTTAATTATTCTAAAAAATTTGAATTTAAAATTAATTGAATTTTCAATAATTTGAATTTAAAAGCATCTAAAATTTAATTATTTCTAAAATTTTCCATCGAAATTTTTTTTTTTTTAATTTAATAATTTCAATTATAACTCTAAGGAAATTCAATTATTTTTAACTATTTTAATAATATTTTTTGAAAATTCAACTATCTGAAACCATTTTTCAATTAAAAATGATTTTCAAATTATTGTATTTTGTCCGCATTTTCTAATAAATTTTTAGTGAAATCATCTAAAATTTTAATTACAAAACACTTAAAGTTTCAATTAATTTCAAAAATCTCAGTTTTAAATCTTTGAAAATTCAATTAAATTTAAAAAATGTTTTCCAAAAATTGTTTGATTAATTATTTTTAGTTCTGTAAAATTTAATAATTGTTTGAAAATTAATGATATCTTTTGAAATTTAATTATTTCTAAAAATTTCAACTTTAACCCTTCGAAAAGTATTATTATTAAAAAAAAAATTTTATTTAAAAATCTGTAAATCTGTTTTTGTCTTTAAGTTGATTCGAGACCTGTGATTTTATAATTAATATTTAATAGGTATTCGTTGGCCCCTGGTACCTTAAAAATTAATTTTTAAAAATTCAGCTTTGAATTTTCGAATTTGGAATTTTAAAGAAACTTATTCCGAAATTTGGAAACACAATTAGACAACTTTGGCAAAAATGAGAAAAAGAATTGTCAAAATTTGACACGTCATAAGATTACTATTCAAAAAAACACGTGAAATCAGAAAAGGCCAACTTCAAGTTAGGATAGAAGGACAGACCAAGCATTTTATTATTATATAATACAAGAAACAACATAACAGAAAATATAAAAATAAAAAATCAATATACAAAATAATAAATAAAATAAACATAAATACAATTTACCAAATAAAACGATGAAACTAAAATTAGTAATCAGTCATTCTCACAATCGTCAATAAAATAATATAAAAAGATGAACATCCAAAAAACACCCATACGATGGAGAAATAATATCTGGAGTCAGAATTAAATTTTAATTAATAATCAAAAACAATTAAAATAAATAAAACAAAAATAAAATAAATTAATTAATAATAAAACTAAAAAATAAAACAACAAAACGTTGGAGAAAATTTTATTCATAGTACATTGTGCAACTAGTGGGGAAAGTGGGTGATTTTTTGAGAGTGAAGTTTACTGCTCGAGCGCAGTGAGAGTAGCAATCACTCGAGAAAAATCATTCTTTCCCACGTGTCGCACACGACGTTTTCTCCAACGCCTCGCGAGGAAATGCATTTATATTAATTAGGAAGAATTAACAATGTATATATGCTTTATATATAGTGACAACTATTTGGTTTTTTAAAATGAACAATGTTTTATTTATTATTATTATTTATTATTTATCAAAGAAAAACTAAAAAAATATTACAATTTACTTTCCCCACGCTCGGCCGAGGAGTTAATAAATGTTCAACTTCCCCAATACTTTTTTAACCAAGAAAGTTGCACTTTCCGAGCAGGCGTTAGAGAGAATCCATTTATTCCATTAATCAACAAAACAAAAAATAATTTTTTTAGATAAATAGTTTTATAATTTTCCGTGTTAAATAAAAATTGATTTCTAATCATTGATCATAAACGTTGCATACTTCAGCATCGTTTTAACAATTCTGAATATAAAAAATTAATAAAACTTAGATCGATAAACGGGATGCATGAAAAAACTCTAAAACAAATATTTTAGAATTATGATTTAATAGAATCTTATTCTCTAGAATATTACTTTTGAAGAATATTAAATTATTTAAATATTAATTTGCAGAATTTTCATTAACGCGATTATTATTAATGTTGCAGAAATTTTATTTAGACGAAAATTAATTTGCCAGATATTAAATTTGATCAAATCTTAATTTGTGGGAAACAACAACAAATCAACGCTGTAAACATCCTGACGAATGCAAATGGAGTAAATAAACAGTTTTTGTTTTTTTTTTTAGAAAACACTTCCATAATAATATGTCATCGCGGCCTCCTTCCTTAAAATACGAAACAAGCATAACACAACACAAGAGCCGTAGAACTGTGGTTCTTAATAAATTATTTATGAAACACATAACGGATTTAATGACAACAGGTGAAGTAGCTCCACAACTTGTTGGTCGAGGCATAGAAATTTCTCAAGTTAGCGTAACAAATGATTTTAAATTCATCAATGTTTATTGGCACAGCAGATTTGATACGTCATTTAACGAATCAACTGAAGAAATATTACAAAATTGTGGTGGACAATTACAACACGAATTATCACAACTTCGAGTAATAGGTCTTGTACCTCATATTAAATTTGTTAAAGATAGAAAATTATTTATTTTAAATGAAGTAGAGAGGAGATTATCGACAATTGATTTTGGTGATGATTATGTACCGGCTAATAAAATAAATAGAAACTGTGAATCAGTTATATTTACGAAATTTTCATCCGAAACTAAATCTGATATTCGTAAACTAGACGCATCTACACAAATTGAAGAGAATATTGATTTAGACATTAATTTACCAGAAATGCGAAACGATGTTCTTGGTTTAGATTGTTCCCTTATTATGAGTAAGGTAAACATTTATTTTTATATTCTACTAAAATTTTCTGTAAAGTTATACAAAAAAAAATATAATGATTAACAAAATAATGTTTTAGATTCAAACATCTTTAGAAAAAAGTGGAATGTTAAATCACAGGAAGTCTACATCTGAAAATAAATTTCCAGAAAATTTTACCGCCGAGCAATTTCTATCAAATAATGAGAGGCGAACATTATTTAACAATTTTTTGAAACAACAAGAAATTAAAGCTAAATTAAAAAGAAAGTCTAGGAATGATAATGACAGAAATTTTGAAAATTTCGACGACGACAACGATAATGATGATGATGATGACGTTGATGATTATTCTGACGTTGATGATTATTCTGACGTTGATGATTATTCTAACGTTGATGATTATTCTGACGTTGATGATTATTCTAACGTTGATGATGATTATAATTATTACCATAACGATGATGATAATCAAAAAGATTTCGAGGATTGTAAATAAATATAGAAAAGTTATTAACAAACAAATCATTTTATTTACATCCATTATATGCAAACCATAATCCACTTCAAATAATGTAACAAATTAACAAAATTTAAAATTTATAAAAATACTAACATACGTATTTTGCTTAATATATTTATAAATTTTATCACTATTTTTCTTTTCTCACTATGATTTTTTGTAAAATAATGCATAACTTAACATAATAACTCTAAAGCAAATAACTTATTTTTATTATTACACTCAAAAAATTGTTGATGCAGCTGATATGCTTTTTCAAAGGAAGCAATAACTTGCCATTAAATTGTTTTCTTAATTAAAATGATTTTTTAAATATAAGTTCTATTGACAATATAATATAATGCATAAACGTCTCCGAATAAAAGTATATACAGTATAAGTATATATATAAAAAAAATTGATTTCTCTAATCGTAGTAAAGTTGTTAATTATTATTTTTTTTTATGTAAATTTTATGTATATACAATTTATTTGCACCAATTTGTGTTTTTCAAGATATTGATAAATTGGTGCACGTTTCCTAAATTGGGATATTTATATGTTAAATAAAATCTAAAATTATTAAGAGAGCAAGAATAATTAAAGGTACATTAAATGTCGACGTTCATTTGGAAACTAAATATATGAATCGAAAATTAAATTAAAATAGCCTGCTATTTTTGTGTCATTATTATAAACTAGTATCTATTTTACTAATAATAATTTAGTATTTATTTTAATATAGGCACAATTTTATTGACATTAAAATTCAAGATAGACCAATAAAAGAAATTTCTTTGTGAAAATAATTATTTCAGTTTTAAAATCAATATTTAATTAAGTGTTCAATGTCTATTTATTAATTATTATCAGGATTTGTTATGTTTCAGTTTAAAAGTAATTGAATTTAAATGACGAATAAATACATTAACTTCATTAAACGTTCCTCAAGATTATTTGTGATCAATTTAATTATTAAAACGAGTGTGTAAAAGCGTGACTTGCATATCTTATCAGCTTTGTGTGAGTAATATTTGTCATAAATACGGCAAATACTTAACTGTCACTAATACAGTTTAAAATTGGTTCTAGAGAAGCAAATTTTTTTCACTTCAAATAATAGATATAAATTAATATTACGAACAAATAAATTACATACAATTAATTTTCAACTAGTACTCCTTGGTTGATGTGCTTCTGATTTATCATTCTTTACCCTGTGGATTTTTTCAATTTCCAATTTCCTAGAATCCTGTTCATTATCATCTTTTAATTCTATTTTAATATTAGAGGTTGAAATAGAATTTGGAATGTTGTCACTAAAAATACATGCCTCTAATACATGTTTATTAAATATCTCACTCTTATCAGCATAAACATGATGTCCCGCACCAGATATAACCTGTTTCAAATTGAAAAAATTTTACTTTTTTTTAAATTTGAATAATTACTCTCCCTGCCAAATTGCAAGCTAATACAATTTCTTAATCTACTTATTCTATTATCCGTCAGTGCCGGGCTTCCTTTTCCCGTTCCATTTTAGCTTCGTCAAAATTAATATTAATTCTAACCCACCCTGGGTAAATTTAATTCAACTATTCTTCTCATTCTTTCTCAATTGTTCTAGTTCATGTATCCATTTCTCACCTTGCCTATTCTCATTCAGAATCCATCTTATCTTTTCATCTACTCCTTTCTCTTCTCCCATTCTAAATCTAACTACTCTGTTCCATTTCTCTTTCTTTTTTTAAACTCTTCAGATATTATGGTAGTTCTCTTCCTTTTACCATTCTGTACCATCTGTTGTATAACTCAACACAGACCACACTAACATATCATACAACCACAATCTCTTTTTCCAGTCATTACAAAACTATTTGGATTATTAAATTAATTTAATTAAATGAATTAAATTAAATTCTGTTTACCTGAACATTGACATAAGATGTTTCTCGAGATTGCTTAATTATTTCTCCTGCCGAATTGTCAACCCAAGATCTGCTCCCATAAATAAGTGTCATAGGAATTTCTGCATCTAATTTATCCATACGTTTAATAATTGGATTTTTCGCCCAACCAAATCCATGCATCATTGCATGAAAAGCACTTTCGCCACTAGTCAAATATAAATCATCGATTTAATATTAAAAATTCAATTTTCAATAAAAATAAATTAAAAGTTTCTTACGTTGGACTTTGTGCATTGCATTGATGAATATACTGTGAAATTACACTTAGATCCTCCTTCAAAAGAGGTGAGAATTTTTTCACTATATCCGGTCTAGTTGTTTCAATAAGCCACTGTCCTGTAACGATATTTTGAAAATTAATAACTTTTAATTAATTAATAAATTTGTTAATATTATATGAATATGAATTCGTTTACCAAAAGGACCAGCTACTCGCACAGCCCAAAGAGGATTCAGAGGTTGAACAACAAAAGCTATAGCCTTAATCCATAGAGGTACATGTGCCCTATTTCCTAAATCTGTAGGTTTTTCTGGAAAACCCCAAGGATCGGCAAGAATTAAATGTTTTACTCTTTGTGGATATTGAAGAGCATAGGAAGCTGCAAGGAAGCCTCCCATTGAATGTCCTAGTAGTACAAATTTATCCAATTGCATTTCTCGTCTCCATTCTTCAACTGAACGAACTAACTGTTCTTCTACTTCTTGCGCTTTATTGCTGAAAACTGGTCGACTACTTCTACCAAATCCTGCAACAATATTACATTTCTTCATCATTAGATACTAATTTCGTATATTAATAAAATTTATTTACCTAATACATCAATAGCATAAACGGGCCTTTGAGCAGCAAAGGTGTCGAGATTTAAACACCAAAGTGCAACCCCTGCTCCCAATCCGTGTAATAATACTATTGGGGTTGCAAGTGATTCTTCATTTAATGATATCGTCCATATTTTATCTGCTGGACCCACAACTGGACCAATATCGACGTACCAACCACGATATGCTGTTTTAAGATCTAAAATAAATTACAGTTTGAGTTCATAATTATATTAAGATGATAGCTTGTATTATATTTAAATTATTTAATATATTCGTAATCTGACCAAACGTTTATTTTAACATTGCCACGAGTCAGGGAAGTCAAGGAAAAGGGAATTATATTAAAAATATCGAATTTCTAAAAACAGGTCTTGGATTATTATTTTTTTTTTCTTCTTTTTTTCATGTTCTTTAAAACAATACAAATTTCACCCATAAAATTGTAAAAAAATTCAATGGATAAATAAGTAGACCGACAAATTACACAGTGCAGGTTCATGATTACTAAGCAAAAAATAGTACAAACTAAATACACAATATATCTATATAAATATATTAGGATTATTTACTTAGTCAAGTGGCGAATTACGTAATGTAATTCACGGAAACACTTTGAACAAGGCAATTATATTACACAGCAAAAATTTTATTGTTAATAGATTATAACAAAGACGAGAAACTAATTAAACAATTAAATTTAGATATAACAAAAATAAACTTACAAGATAAAATCTTTTTTTCAACTGTTCTCAACATCGTTGCAGAAGAACCTGACCAACTATATCCACTGAACAATCCCCAAAGCCAACTGTAAACAATTGATAAGTAAATGAAATAAAAATAAATTGTTTTCATTGTAAACTACTTTTGAAATATTAATGACACAATGAAAGTATTATTGAGCAAAAATATAATATGTATTTCGCCAGACGTTTGGCAAAATAATTTAAGTAAATTATTTCTTATTATTAAAAATTAGAGAAAATAATTATTCATCCAGTAAAGGAAATTAAAAAATAGGAGAGATTCAGATTATTGTTTCCTATGGAAATATATTATTTTTTAAACAATTTTAGACGACATGTTTTTTCGTATCGACGAAAAAAATTCTTTAACAAAATTATGCGAATTTGAACTTTTGAAACTGCAAAGTTATATTTCAAGTAAATGACTGGTGGATTCTATTAATATTGTTTAATTTTTTAGATTTACAATATTAGATGTTATTAAATAAATATTTAATTATTATTTACTTAATCTTTTGTTTTTAGTTCTATTAATATTTGTATACTTTCTGAATGAAATAATAAAGATAACACTGTGTTACAAAAAAAATATGACTTCAAAAACTTCTTATCGGACCTAGTAGAGTTTGTAGAGCATAAAAAACTGAAAATAATGGTGTATATTTAATTGCTTATACACCCTCCAATTTAATTATAGAGACGAAATACAATTTTTTGTAAAAAAATTCTTGTAACTTTCTTATTTTTTGCCCGATTTCAAATTCTTTTTTTAATTTTTAAGCTGATAAACAGATCTTTGCAACTTTCCTTTCACACAATTTTATAGTCACATTAGGTTGCATGCGTGATTTATATTTTTTATTAATTTTCGTAAAATTGAATAGATGGTTAGTGTATACTAAAAATTAAAGAGTACAAAGCATTTACACTAAATATCTACTAAATTTTATGAAAATTAGAAAAAACTATAAATCACACATGAAACTTAATGTGACTATAAAATTAAAAGTGTCATAACTTAGACAAATTTTAACGAATTCTAACCAATTATGGGTCATTTAAAGCAGAATTGACTACACTTTCGATGTGTAAAACGAAAGAAGGTATATCTCATCAGAAAACAGTTATACAAATCGATCAAAAAAGTTGAAAAAATCGCTGCCAAGTTGAAGTATGAACTTTTTGTGTTCATAAAATGAACACTTTGCTTTCCCATAGAGATTTTTTGTGATCAATTTATGGTAACTTATTTGGTATGATTATAATTTTAAGAAGGTGTTAAATTTTATTTTTGGGTATTTGCAGAGATAGATTTTTAACATCAATAACTTCGTAATATTTCACAATAAAAAGGTTCAATAATAGGTCAATTGATTCGTTTTTAAATATTCTCCAAGTTGTTCATAATGATTTTAAAGATATACATAAATATTTTTTAATAAATAAGGCAAAAAAGGCAGGTTTTTCAAAATTTTTCAATTTCAAAATGTCAATAACTCTGGATAAAATAACAGTAGGATATTCGCTAATAGGCCAAAAGATGCGTCTTGAAAAACTCTACAAAACTAGAAATAAATATCTATTGGTCTCAATACATTTTTTTAAAGTTATGGGCAAAAAACGATTTTCTTTAATTTTTAAAAATTCAATAACTTTGGATAGAATATCAGTAGAATGTTCGCCAATGGCTGAAAAGATGCGTCTTAAAAAATTCGACAAAATTAAAGAAAAATATTCATAGGTGTCTTAAAATTTTTTTAAAGTTATGGGCAAAAAATGATTTTTCAAAAATTTTTAAATGCAAAAAAATAATAGTTAATCTTTATTAATATTGCTCAAACTACTCTCATTATTTGTCCGCCAGTGAGACCTACAATTAAAAAAAATTATTCCTTTAGCTCTTATAGTATTCGAGATATTTAAGAAAATGTAGTGTATACACACACACGCACACACACACGGAACATTTTTTAAAAATATGATTTTTGGATTCCTGAGGTCGAAAAACATAAAGATACATCAAAAAATCAAGTTCGAAAAATTTCGGTATTACAATGCTTCCTGCATGAGAAAGCAACAATAAAAAATCGAAAATTTTGAAAGTATTTGGTCTTTATCGTCATCAATTAAGAAGATACAACAAAAATCCTTTATACAGTTGCAAAGATCTGTTTTTCAGCTTAAAAATTAAAAAAAGAATTTCAAATCGGGCAAAAAATAAGAATGTTACAAGGATTTTTTCACAAAAAATGGTATTTCGTCTCTATAATTAAATTTTTAGGGTGTATAAGCAAATAAATATACACCATACTTTTCATTTTTTTATGCTCTACAAACTCTACTAGGTCCGATAAGAAGTTTTTGAAGTCATATTTTTTTGTAACACTGTGTAATTAGGTAGTACCGCAGTTATACTCGCAAAGAATAAACTGAAAATAATTTTCTCGTTATGAAATTGAAATAAATTTTGAAAAGTTGAAAAATGTCTAAAAGAAAAATTAATGTGCTCTCACTTAGTGAAAAATTTTAAATTGTAAATCTTCTACAAATGTTGATCAGACTCTCTTTCATAAAATCTATATTATTCATGAAAAAGAAGTTGAGAATTTTAAAACAACAAATAAACAAACATAAATGACATATTTTTTTATACAAAAATAATCTAAAATTATCATTTTTAAAAAATAAATAAATATTTGTTAAAATGTAATAAAAATTTACAAATAAATTATATGTGGAACGTATAATAATTCTTTTGACCTGTTTATTTTGAAGTAAAAAATTTATTAATTCGTAAATCTCTATAAGGGAGAAAAATCACCCCTGGACCTTTATAAGTAAGAAACTGAATAAATGAGAAATCTCTATAAGTGACAAAAAATTGTCCATCCCTTGAATTTTGTTCAACAAAATATTTATTGCTTTAAAATTTCAATTTTAAACAATTTCAAATTGATAACAAATAATTTGATTACCATGGAATTTAATCAATTAAAAGAGATTTTAAAAAGGAATACTTATTATTTCAATAAAGTTAATGTTAATTTTGCGCGATCATCTTATGCAATATAACTATGATTAATTTTATATAATATAGATTACTACTCTAAATTAATGAAATGTATTTTAATTGAGCATATATATGAGGAAATAATATTTAAATATTTAATAATGTTTGACATTTTACCATTCATTTGAGTTTCTCATTGTATTACTTCATTGTTAAAGATAAAATTCACTTTTAAATTTCACTTGAACAATAAATTTCTTAAAATGCAATTATTAATCTTCTAGCTACGTAACAGCGTGACAAGTGCATAATGATGTGAAATGTTTATTTATAGACAAAATCGTAGATATAGAGGGAAATATAATTTAATGAATGGTTATAATTTACCTATTTGATTTTGAAATTTCATTATCTGCCATGAGGTCTTTTAAATGCTTTTCTTATAAATAAGTATCAATTCACACTATAATTGAAGAAGAAATATTATTTAAAACAAAGGTAATCTTCTTTTATACATAACTTTTGGAGTTGAAAAATGTTTATAAATGTAAACGCCATTCAATATTACACTAGATGGCATTATCATAGCTCAGGGTATAGTTATCATCAACAGATTCTTCAGAAAATTGAAGTGACATCCACACTGTTCATCATCAATGTAGATAAAGGTAATGGCGAGCGATGCATTTTCACGGATAATCACTGAGTTTGATTGGCTCTAACAATATTCAATTTTCACGATGGAAATGAAATATTTCTCGTAAAATACTGAATGGATTGAGCTGAAATTTTGTGGAGGAATTTAAAATAATATGATAAAGAATGGTTGTGAAGTGCAAAAATGTTGATATATTGTTAAATAAATATAATAAAAGGCATAAAAATTGCTAGAAAATCCGACACTCCTAACCCCACATTTTCTAACTATTTTCAAGTGTTTTATAATAATTATTTTAAAACATATCAACATTTTCGTACTTGGCAATCATTTCTTATCATATTTGGAACTCCTCCATAAAATTTCAACTCAATCCATTCAGTATTTTACAAAAGTTAAAAACTAATTAATATTACGGACCTAAAAGTCACATAACCTTAAAGGTATGGTTACAGCTCGGATATTTAAGTAGGGTCGTCATGGTAACGTATAAGAGTGAGAGAAATAAGAACATTCTTCATTTCTTTCACTCTTATACGTTACCATGACAACTCTACTTATAGCTGTGCTGTGACCGTACCTTAAGGTCCTTTTGCAAGAATCTGAATTCGTCTCTTAGTTTTGTTGTAAATAATTGATTTGCAATTAATCGATATTTATAAATTATTATGAATTTTAAACTTTAGTAGAAAAATTAATATTTCTCTTGCAATCATACTTTTCTACATTGGCTGCGTAAACGTAAACACGAACGTGCTGACGTCACCCATTTGAATAACATTGTGACGTCAGCACGTTCACTTCCACGTTTACCAATGTAGGGTCAGCATCATCTATTGTCTACAATTTTTAATTTATTTTTTAAAAAAATTAAAAATATCCATTTTAATGAAAATAGAAAATTTTAGTTTTAAATATAAAAAGTCTAGGTCAAATTTTAAAAAACAAAATTCACCCGAAGAGAGCATTAAAAAATCCTATAAGAAATATATTTAACAAAAAATTTTGTTATTTCATATATATAAAGAAAAAATTAAATATTCATGCAAAATTGATAAATTTGCACTACCTCTATCACCTTCAAATTTTAAACAAGTCAACAAATTTTTTTTGTTATACTACCAGATATAAAAAAAAATTTGAAGTGAATTTTTTGAGTTAGGACATTGAACGTAAAATGCCTTATATGCTAAAATGTCAACAACTCATTAACTCCAAAACTCTCAAAATTAGGGGGGACATGCTTTTTTCCAAAATTTCGAATTTTTTAAATATAACTGTTCAGACCAACTCCAAACGGGTTCTCTATAATTTTCTTGAAATCTACTCGCGAAAATACGTAAGTGTACCAAATTTCAGCTGTTTAGGTTTATATGGTTCAGATTTTCGGGAGCAGGAACTGAATAATATTATTTATAGGGTTTTCCATTATATTACACTTTTTATACTGTTACCAAGTTTTCTGCAATATTTAGGTACACGGAGAATAATAGAAAAACGAATAAAATAATTTTTACTACTTTAAAAGTAAAATCTGAACTGTCCGGAGTTTCTGCACATTTCTGGTAATTTTTACTCCGAAAATAGTAAAAATTATTCCAGAAATAGTAAATTTTACTATTTTCGGAGTAAAAATTACCAGAAATGCGCAGAAACTCCGGACAGTTCAGATTTTACTTTTGAAGTAGTAAAAGTTATTTTATTTGTTTTTCCATTCTTCTCCGTGTAAAATTTTTACCATTTAATAATGAAAGGTTTATCTTATTTTAAGTAGTATATAAAATAATGACAAAAAAAATAAATGTAAATAACTTTTTTAGTTATTTTTATTTTCTAATGTAGTTAAAGTTAATGTACTATTTACAAAGGAATAACTCAATATATCCTGATAAAACTTTAGAAGCGTTTGCTACACCAAGTACAGAATCACAATAATATAACAAATATTATTCGAAAATTAAACGAATATTCGAAACGATAAATCTAAGATACACACAAGGAGCAGTCGATTACAATTATGCAATACCTCCAACAGCGAACTTCCTTAATTTTTTTTTCAACTTCATTTATGCACAAATTACTTAGCAATAAAAAAAAATAATTATGAGATCAGTGGACCTGAGCAAATATAATTTTGACGCTTAAAAACTAATCGTTATCAAAACGTAAAACTTCAAGTCCATTTATTGCTCATGTAAACGCATAATTTTTTTTTAACTTTAAAGGCAAATTCTTATAGAGGTTTTGCACTTGTCGGCTTCTCTTCATTACCTATAAATTAATATAACGATTAATGTAACTCTTCAACCTAGCCCTAAATCAAAATTTATCGTAATTTTATATATCACCCGAATCGCATGTTTATGTTTTGAGAACCTACGTTGAATTTTATTCACATTATTTTATGATTGTGATTTTGATTAATCAAAACATTCAGGATTCCTTTTAATAATTTGTTGCAGTTCAAACATTTTGCTCTTAATTTTAGAAAAATTACCAAAAAAATTCATTAAAAAGAAAAAAAAAAAAAAAACAAGAAATTCTATAATTTCTCAATTGTATTTTTTTAATGACCGCCTCGTTTGCTTTAAAACTATTTTTCATAACGAAAATTCTTTGTCGTTCTGTCAGGTTAATTTTAATAAGTGGATTAGTAAAACAAAACCGTTAGTCAATTATTTTACACTGTAAGAATTAATGAAAATATTTGCTTGAAAAAAATAACAATCTATCAATGTTTATATTCTTGTTTCGAAGGTTACTCACTTCTACTTAAACATACTTGTATAATATATATTCTCTGATACTCTTTGTTGATAATACATCTTACATACTTTAAAAAAATCTTTAAAGAAGCCAGTCAAATTTAAAGTACATACAATAAAATTAATCTACGACGTGTTTTTTTTTTTAAATTCCATCAAGACAATGTGAAAATGAGTACGGCCCCGCCGTGCAAATGTTTTGCCATTGGAATTTTTCAATTATGCAGAAAATAAAAAATTATTTTCATACATATAAATCTGATTAAACATCATTTCAAATAAGATTTCGGGAAAAATTACCCTGCGTTTAGAAACAATTATTACTTACTTTTAACATCATTATGTTAAGCACAAGTTCGAATTAAAAAAAAAAATAATAAACAGAAAGAAATGTATTAATGGTCATAATTAAAAAATTATTAACAGTTACATTAACTGTTGATCAATGAACGCACTTTTGAGAGTGAAAATACTTTATAAAAAAAAAAGAAAAAAAAAGAGTATTTCATGCAAACATTAATTAATCCTACAGTTTTTAATTTATAATATAAAGCATTTAAGTCAGTAAAAAAAAATTACATTTACTAACGTGAGCTTTGTTAAAAGTTTGATTTGTATAATTCATGATGTGAATTGTTTAATTTTTGTAATCTTAATTTGTTTAGTTTGTATGTAAACATTACCTTTTTACATGTTATTTTATTATATATTGCCATGAATCTACTGATTTTGTATGCGACGATCGTCTAATATATTTTCTAACTTTCGTGCAACGAAAGCAGTGGTCATAGATTTTTTAAGCGGTTCTTGAGACATTTCAACGTCCGCTTCATCCGAAAGTAAACGTTTTCCAACAGATTTCTTGGCATCGACAGATATTACCATTTTGTTGATAGCTTCCAAGTCCTAGAATTAAAAATAAATTATTGAATTTACAATTTAAAAGTTAGAGAAATACGTAGGAAATTTTGAAAAAATGTCACTCACTTAAAATACAATTTTAATTTTCATGGTAGAAAATCAATAGAGAATAGTTAATAACAAAAAAAGTATTTGATCAAATAAAAAAATCGGACAAGTGCGAGTTACACTCGCATAAAAACCGAGGGTTCCGTACCCCTAATCCTAAAATTTGAGGGGTTTAAAGTGTGAAGGCCGATGGAAAAATTCCAATTTTGCTTAATTTTTCTTGTAATGTGAGCATGGAAATACATATCATAAGTTTTTAAAAAATTTTTAATTTTTTTATCATTTAACATTTTCAATTTTATGATTTTTTTAGATTTCACCAATTAATAAAAATATCAACAAATAAAAAATGTCAAAAGATAAAAAAAATAGCAAATGGTAAAAAAAAGAAAATGGCAAAAATGGCAAATTATAAAGAATGGCAAAACACTACAAAAAAATATAGCAAGCACAATTGGAGTTCTCGCTATATTTTTTTTGTAATCTACACGCAAAAATACGTAAAAGTGTATAAATTTGAAACTCTTTAGATAAAATATTCTTCGTTTTTTGGGGAAAAATCATGATTTTTATCGAAAATTATCAGTTTTTCCTTGAAAACACTATGATAATTCACTCCAATCGTTCTCGTTGTATTTTTTTTGTAATCTACAAGTAAAAATACGTAAAAAAGTATAAATTTGGATCCCTTAGGATAAAATTTTCTTCTTTTTTTATTCGAAAAATCCATGATTTTTTCTAAAAATATGAGTTTTCCTTAAAAACAATATGAACATCAACTCCAATTGTGCTCGCTATATTTTTCCTGTAATCTACACGCAAAAATACGTAAGTATACCAAATATGAACTGCCTTCGTCAAATATTGTGTGCGCTAGGAGGATTAATCGCTTTTTTTCAAATTTTTTGATTTTTCCTTGACAACGCTATGTAAATTAATCCTAATCATGTTTGCTATATTTTTCCTGTAATTTTCACGTAAAAATACATAAGTGTACCAAATTTGAGCTCTCAATGTAAAAAAATGTGGCAACCAGGAGGGGGGGTACATAGTCATTTTTAGGGATTTTTCGTAAAAATTCATGGTTTTTCCTTGACAACGCTATGATAATTAATTCCTATGAGATTCGCTATATTTTTCCTGTAATCTACACGCCAAAATACATATGTATACCAAATTTCAGCCATCTAGATAAATTCGTGTGGCCGCTAGGGGGGGGGGGGTACATGCCTTGCTTCACTAGTCTCATTAATAGGGTTCCCCCTTCGGGTACGGAACTCTAAAAAATTCATTTTAATGGCAAGAAAAGCAAATAGTAAAAAAAAAATTGAAAATTGTTTATAAAAATTATTTGTAACATTTTTAAATATTTCTTAACAATGAAAAATGAAAGTTTGTATCTTCAACACACATATTGATTAAAAAAGAGCGATTTGAAATGAAAAAATAAATTTTATCTACAATTTTGCTTTACAGTTTGCAAATGGTTTATAAAAATTGTTTATAACATTGTTAAACGTTGTAAAATCATTTTAAATGAAATTTGCTACTTTTAATATACATTCGAATTGCAAAAAAAACCATTTGATGGAAAAACAGATTTTTTTTTACCACTTTGGTCAAAAATTTGTAATTTGTTTAAAGAAATTGTTTATAATATTGTTAAATAATACCGAATAACAATTTTTTTTATTTTATACTATTATTTTACTGAACTGAAACATTTAAGTTAAAAAAATCAGGATAACATTTTTTTATGTTATTTTTACAAATTTAAAAATTTTGGCGAACATTTTTGAAGCGACATTTTGAAATAAAAAAATTTTTTTTATCATGGCTATATGCAGATGGGACTATCATGATAGTTCCAACATTTTGAACGCGTTTTTTTGGTGTTTTGGATTTTTTCCAAAGCAATTTCGATTAGAAAATCTAATTTTAAATTTAAAAATACACAGATTCTGAAAGAGGACACTCAAAAGCATAAAAAGAACTGGATGCCGAATTTTTTAAAAAGCGCTACTCGTAGAACGGAAAGCTCGAATTTGAACCAAAAAACGGTCATTTGGGACTAAATGGGTTAAGCTGCCTTTGGACCCATGTTACTTACGATATTTTTTATTCCAAAGGCTCAAACATCGCGTTTATATTTTACCTGACTGCCGGGTAAAAAAGTCATTTATTTGTTCTACCGTTTGAAAATGGCGTCCATTTTTACCCTAGAGGAAAAAAAACACATGGAACTGCTTTTCATTTTTACCCTAGGGCAAAAATGGACGCCATTTTTCAAACGGGAGAATAAATGATTGACTTTACACTCGGACGTCAGGTATCTAAAAGTGCCATATTTGTGTCTGAGGGATGAAAGAATATAACTTCCTGTCATCATTAAAATTTAAAGGATTCAAGATAAAGGTGGTAACTCCCCTTAAGTCTTGTTACATTAAAAAATGTTTATTTTTGTATAAATTTATAGAAATTTTCCTGACTTTGAAAGAAATTGTCTGACATTACCTGCCCAATAAAAAAAACTAATTTGTCGCTAAGCAAGATTCAGAGAAGCCCTTTGTATATATTCAATTCAATTCGTACCAATGAGTTTTCATCGGTTGAGAATTCAAACAAAATGACAAACTCCTCTATTGAATTCAGCTTTGTCGAATTCAGGAGAATTGCAACATAGAGTAATTCGAATTTGTCGCTAAGCGGGATTCAATGAAGCTCAGGGTGTATTCATTTCAATTCAACTGAATTAGTTTTCATTTGCTGGGTGATATTTTCCTGACCAAAAAATCCCGACTTTTCTCTGATTTTTAGACACCCTTAACAAACAATATTTTGTGTTCTTCCCCTGGGGCAAAATTACTCAACTGTTCCCACCCCAAAAATTAATTTATCATGATTGAATTGATACTTGACTGAAGTGTAGTCCTAGTGAACCTACATTCAACCACCAAACTATTTGACCCAATAGCAAAGGACTTTTAACATACAGGGGTTCGAAATTTCAACTCTCAGGCAATTTCTCTAAAATTCATCTTAACATAACTTCTACACGGAGAGAAAAAAAAAGTTCTAACTACTTTCCTTCAAGTCGTCATTCTGATCATATGAAGTCAAGTAGTTACAACCGGGGAGCCAGGCCGTTTTGACTTGGCTCTTTCATTGCTACTACTGTGTTCTCAGGCAATACCGACCAAGCGATTGGCCTATTGCTTTGACTTGCCGCTTGGCGTTTGCTTCTACCGGTCTTCACACATGTGTAAAGCAAAGTAGAAGCAAACGCCAAGCGGCAAGTCAAAGCAATAGGCCAATCGCTTGGTCGGTATTGCCTGAGAGCACAGTAGTAGCAATGAAAGAGCCAAGTCAAAACGGCCTGGCTCCCCGGTTGTAACTACTTGACTTCATATGATCAGAATGACGACTTGAAGGAAAGTAGTTAGAACTTTTTTTTTCTCTCCGTGTATAAAACTTATTCAATTACACTTTTATTATAGGGTTTTCAAAAAGGTTTTTTTCTCTATTTTATGAATATGAAATCTAAATTTCTTCTTTTAAACCGTTTTTTCTTAAAATTAAAGAAAAAAATTAAATTTTCGCTTCTTAAGACAGTTTTTAAATTTTTTTGTTTTGGTCTCAAAAAATAGCATTTTTGTGTACTTTAAAATCACACTTTGACAAAAATGGGATCTGCTTATTTTCAACGTCAAATTTAATTACAGAAAACCTCACTCGAGCACTGTCGGTTTATAGGCAATCGAGATGTGAAAGTATATTTGGATAGTCATCATAAATGTACAACTTATCCTTCGAGATACCTTTAATTAGCTTAGGACAATATTTTTAGTTGGAATGTAATGAAATTTCAATTTTTTTACCTTAGCTGGACTGCGACCAAGACAGTAACTCAGTGTTGGTGCTGGTGTAGCAGAAATTGCCTTGGAGTTCAACATTCGTGTCGTGACACAGCCTGTAATGCGCTTGATGGGAGATTTTTTGGTTGATTTGCCTCTGGGCAGAGGACTGAGTGTGAGATTTGAAGAATTGGCCCTTCCTATGCCTAATTTATTAGCGAATTCCTTAACTGGTGGTACATAAACTGTATTGTAAAACTTGATAAGATCTCCGCGTATTTCAGTGCCAAAGTTTTGTGATGTTCCTGCCATATTCGATGGGGTCGGTGGAGCAATATTATTCACTTGTGCATTTAGTCCATTTTCAGAATCATTCGAAAGATCATTTTCATTTTCATTTTTAATTAACACTGATCTGTATATGTGAGATTCTGCCTGTGGTTGAAGACGATAGCATCTCATAATTTCAGTGAATGAATTCCTATCAATTTTTGCTAATTTACAAATCACATAAACGGCACACATGAGAATTTGATCGAGATGTCTATCTCGCATTAAACATGTTGCCTCTTTAATTGAATATTCGAAAATTGTCCAAATTTTTTTCTTTAGATCTTCATCGTCTATTGATAAATTGTGACACAAATCGTGCATACGAACTGCTGCTAAATTGTAGAATTTTCTGAAGAATAATGCCACGGAGCCTGTTCGTCGAGATTTTGTTGCTTCTTTATTTGGAGGACTAACGTTTGTAGTTAGTAATTTTGGCGTTGACGTTTGATCGGGTAAAACATAGAGAAGTTTTGGAGTTAATAAACTCTGTCCACCAACTCTAAGCACACTGTGACCACTGGTTTTGCTGTCACCAAATAATTGTTTTTTCGGTAAACCAGTTGTAGAAATCGGCGACTGGAATCTGCAATTATAAATTTTAGTATTGCATACTTAAAAAAAAACAATTAAATTTATTTAATGATGTGAAACAAACCTTTCGGATGCTGATGAAATGGGACTTTGTACATCGTAATGTGTTCCACGATCGAGAGCAATTCTTCGCAAACCAGGATGTCCTGGTATATTTTGATCAACTGAATCCGCAAAACCTGGCAACGAAACTTCTTCGCAACTTGGAACGCCCCCTTCAGTTGATTCAATAGCCAGCCATAGTGGACTATTTTTCTTCCACGCTAAAGACTCTAAAATCTTTTCCTCAATACAATTTAAATGCTTAACTACGTCTCTTGATAATTGTTCCTCTACCTTCACGGTAATTTCAATAACTTTATAAAAATAATAGGCTTCTATGTTTAAAGCACTTAAAATCCAAGGAAATGTTCTGTCCTCATTTTTATACGAGTAAATAACTATTTCCAAACAACAAGCAAAAAGGCACTGAACGAATACTTCATTCGTTATTAAGTTCTGCAAAAACAAAATTAATTGAACTCTTTTAAATTTAAATCTTCAACACTTGAAAAATTAAAAAAATATTTACTTACAGTAATGTCAAATTTCGGCTTTTTATTTTTCTCATCCTTGAGAATCATTTCGAAGATTTTATAAAATAGCGGTTGCGCTAGATTAACTCTTTTCTTTCCAAAATCTAAAGAGGAATTGTCAGCTCCATTTTGTGTGTACTTGGCACAAAATAAATCTCCAATCTCTTTTACTTTAGTTTCAACAATAGTTTTAACGTCACGTGTGCAACTATTGAAAATCTCGAGCAAAGCTTCACTCGGTGATCCCTGCCTTCTATTTAAAAGATGAAATAGACGATTTACACTTTGGGTAGCATTCGAAACTGGTGCAGTATTGGAAGCATCTCTAGGTCTTAAATATTTTCGACCAGTTAACGGAGTTGGTGGCGCAGAATTTTGAACCTGCTGTAAAAACAAAACATTAAAGTATTTCTAAATTTCATTTTACTTTTTTTTTAATAATTCAAAATACATACTCCTCCTTCGGATTCTCGTCTTGTTTGAAATTGTTCTTGTAAGTCTCCGTCATTTATTATTCTTCTAGGTGAACCAATGTTGGCATTTGCACTTTCACCTAAAAATCATTAATTTTATTTCTCAATTGTAAATAATATCCAGTTTCTTTTCATTAAACTCAGCATTAATGTAGATAATCACAATTAACAAATTTTAATTCCTAAGAATCAATAATCTTACCTAAAAATATTCTTTCATCAAAATCGCCAACAGAAAGTACATGATGTTCGTACAATTTATTCACCGCTTTGAAATTTGCATCGAAGTTTGCAGTATCCAAAATTTCAGAAAAATTTGATTTATCTCCTTGAAGGACTTGATCGTTGAATAATTTATTCAAAAGATTTTTAAAAATATGTTCCTTAATGATCATTGCTTCAACTTTAATGGCATCGTGACGATTTGATAACAATTCAAGAATGCAGTTCGCTGTCCTACTTGGAACAGAACTTTCTTCATTAAAATTTGAAGGTAAGCCTGCAATTAAAATAACTCTCGTTAAAAACAAGTTCCTAGAATGTAATATCCTATTTAAAAAAATGAATTTGTTTGCTTACCAGGAAAATTGGGATTTAGCAAATCACGTCTGTCGCTTAGAATAGCATTTTTGTACATAAGATCGCAACATACTACAAGTAAATGGTACGAGTTAACTAAATCATCAGAAATAGCTGGTATTGTACCCTTAATGCATACAAAAAGACTCCAACAAAATTCAAATACTCTTGCTGGAGTACACGGAAGATTTCTTTGTCTTCGTGATCTTACAGGTTGCAAAGAATCTGCAGAATTTTGAAAAATATCAGCAAAAATTGGTTTATATTTTTTAAAAATATTAAAAGAAACAGCAAAGTTTCGTTCGAGTTTTTCAATTCGAGAACGAAAATCTTGTGGCATATTGGCCATGTCTGCCCATTGTTTGCTTTTTGAAAAGAATTCCAATAATGGTAAATTGCATAATCGTAAAAGTCGAGTTAATGACACTCTGTTAGTTTCAACATTTGATGCAGATCTTCCTGTATATGAACTAGAAGTTTTGCGACAGGCAACATATAAAGCACATCCTATCCAATGAATTGTTTCACCCTGAAAAGAAAAATAAATTTTAATTTTGATAATAAACTAAAAATTTCTCTGCGCTGATTAATTCATTAAATAGAATAAATTTGTATTAGATAAAATAATTTTTAAAACAGAAAAAAAATTTAGGAATAATAAAATTTTCTCTCATCTAATTTAAGAAAAGCTAATAGAAGCCGCGTTTACGTAAAACAAAATTTGCGCATGTGATTTACTTACACAAAGTTAGGTAAGGTTAGGTAAATAGTGTAAATTGAAACATTTCATGAAGCATTAAAAGTTTCATGAAACTTTACAACACTAAGGAAATTCAATTCGATAATAAAATTTTTTAGCGAAAATCTACACAGAAATCCGGGTGGACTCCATGCAGATCTTTCCAAATCTCTACACTAAAATTATACACGGAGAAAAATGGAAAAACGAATAAATTACCTTTTACTACTTTAAAAGTAAAACCGGAACTGTCCGCAGTTTCTGCGCATTTCTGGCAATTTTTACTCCAGAAATAATAAAATTTACTATTTCAGGAGTAAATTTTACTATTTTCAGAGTAAATTTTACTATTTCTGGAGTAAAAATTGCCAGAAATGCACAGAAACTGCGGACAGTTCCGGTTTTACTTTTAAAGTAGTAAAAGGTACTTTATTCGTTTTTCCATTTTTCTCCGTTTATTATATCGTTTTTTATTTTTTTTCAAATTTTTTTTCTTAACATCATAAAATTTAGAATTTTTTTTTCTAAAACTGCTATAATAAAAAAAAGTTATTTGATTTAATGAATCAAACAATCTGATTGTTTTTTTTCTGGGAAAAATTTTTTTTATGAATTTTTTTGTATTCGACGAGCACAACTTTTCCTTTTACAAAATTTGATGTATTTTAGAATTTATTTAGTTGATAACAGACAGAAGCCTTCAAGAGATTACATGGGTAAAAAAAATCAAATTAAATTTTTTTTTCATTTTTCTTTTGATAGTATAACATTTCAAGAATATTTTCCCAAAGTTTTAAGATAATGTGAGTAAAACTCTAGGAAAGAGAGAGAATTTTCGAAAACGCTTTTTGTTTCGACCGGCATCTAGGGATAATTGATTTTTAATTAGTTTGTCGCCTTTTTGTATCAGCCATTTTTAATTTTGGAAAACTAACACCAAATTCGTAATCAGCGACTCCAAAAACCAATTTGAAATTTTACTTTCATTTCACAAATGAGCATTTTGGAAAATTAATAGTTTCAGGCCTTATAAACTTTTTCGGCTAAAATTTTTTGAAAAAATTTTTCGAGGCATAATTGAACACAAATCTAGCACAAATTTTCTTTTTTGGAAATTGAAAGTTTGAGGTGCCAATTTTCTGAACGTAATTTTTTTTTTCTATGCAATATGCCAGTAATGCCTGTACATGAACTAGAAGGAATAATTATTTTTAGTTACTTTTGTGCATCTGACTACGACGACGCGTCAAGTCAGATTTTTTTCTAGTAAGAAACACTTTTTTCATTACAATTCATTTCTTTTCGTTTAGTACATCTGACAAAATGCAAGTTAACCTCACAGTTTGTTAATAACCACAAATTTAGGTTATTCCAAATAAATTAAAATAAAAAAATAAATTACTATATAAAAACAAACATTAAGTCAACTTTATAATTCCACACGTAATTTTCCTTAATTATGATAAACATGGTAAAAATAAAAGTTCTCTTTTACTTATTAACGAACTATCATTAACTTATTAACAAATTTTTGAAGATTTGGAATTTTCCCAAAATTTATAAAGCCCCATGAAAACTAATTGACATATCATAGAAATTTTTTTAACAATGCAGTAAATTATCAAGAAATGAAAACTGATTCTAAATAAAATAAATAAAAAAAATAAGTTACTCTATTTACGACAATATTCTCCGAATATATGAATAAACAATTTTTTTCAATCACAATACTGAAATTTGTACTCAGAATTGATGGAAAGGCAGAGCACAATTTAAGATATTTCAGCCTCTCTTTAAGAGCAAAAATAAAATAGAAAAGTTGTTAAAACATTAAAATAAATACCTCAAGTGAGTAATTTTCTCTTATGGTTTCGTAGGATCTCCAAGCCTCCGATGCTGATGTTGCATCCATATTCAACTTTTGACATAATTCCTGATGTCTACTATAAGTAGAATCATCAATATCGTCTGACTGACCCATTATTTTAAATTAATATACACTCAAAAAATATGCAAACTATATAAAAATATACTAGAAAAACAAAATGTTTGTACGACAAGGGCGCGCCATACATGCCAATACATGCGACTGAGCTTGCTTACTGAATGCTGAAACACTAGTTTGGCGCGAAAATCTTGGATCCTGATACGTTGAATACCCGCTTCACTATACACAACTACGCAGCCATTTTACTTTGTCGATGTTTCATCTATCACATTGGCGGGAAAATGAGTCTCACTTTCCCTTTATCATTTTTTCATATATTAATACTGAATTTTTATTTCTTTTAAATAAAAATTATAATAAAAAGTATTTTTCATTCTATTTTGAAAAAATTATTATTAAAATTTCTGCTAGTTTATCTAATACCATAAAACTATTTAAATTTAACCACCAATTAGATTTTAGGAGTTTAGGTTAGTTTCAGCGGAAAAAAGGTTTATTAACATTAATTATGTGTAATTATATCAATTATTCATAAAGTTAAACAAACTTTTAAAAAAATTATTATTATGTGCTATGAATTAACTAATTCTATAATTAAAAGTTAGTATTTCAAGCGCGCTATTTTCCCTTTCCATGTATACATTAAAGGTGCAGTCACAACTTTTTTTCAAAGAGGAACGTTATGAACGTACTATGATCGTCATATGTTCGTCTGCTAGATAAAACTTTGATTTTACAAATTTACGCAGTTGATAAATTCATAATTAAATAATTTATTTACAATAATTCTAAAACAACAATTTCGAGAAAAGTATACATTTAGGTTGTGTTTATATGTGCGTACGTGTAAGGGTGCAGTCACATGGAGCTGATTAGTGAGTTAGCGGATGACCAATCAAAACACAGTCTCTTGCGGTAAGTAACATTTTCCTTTAGAGGCTTAATTTTGATTGACTAAAATCATTTCTGCTAATCTACTAAAGGTGAAATCACATGAAGGCATAAAGCGGCTATCGACAAATTACGTAAGGCTTTTTATGGAAAATTTTAATCCCCTCCCTTGACCTCCCTCCCCCTTTAAAGTCTTACGTAATATGTGGACTGCTCCAAAGCAAAAAATCATGAGTGCAAGTAGGGGTAAAGGTGGTTCCACAACAACTTGCTTAAAGTTTTGCTTTAAGAATGAGCACGCAACGTTACGTTATAACGTTAACGTGCTGACGTCACAATGCTACTAACGTTCCCAACTAGCTATAGGCTACGTCTAGAATGGGGCTGACGCAAACGTATCCCAATGCTAATCGAATGAGGACGCGTCACGTAGCGCTTGCGTCTGCATTTGCATCAGCCCCATTATTGGCTGGTTCCAGAATGGAGCCAAACGCAGACGCGTTTCCCTTCTGAAACTAGCCTATGGCTACTTCCACAATGGGCTCGACGCAAGGTAAACGCAGCGTTGACGCGACGCATCCCAATGCTAATCAAGTCGGCTCTACATCCATGGTACGCGACGCGAACGTGAACGCGACGTGCTGACGTCACCCATTTGATTAACATTGTGACGTCAGCACGTCGCGTTCACGTACACGTTCAATGTAGAGCCAACTTCAAATGGGGATGCGTCGCGTCAAAGCTGCGTTTACCTTGCGTCGAGCCCATTGTAAAAACCAGCCATACATTGGCTGCGCAAACGTGAACGTGAACCTGATGACGTCACAATGTTATTCAAATGGGTGACGCCAGCACGTTCACGTACATGTTTGCGCAGCAATGAAGACTCAGCATAAAGGAGCGTCTCCAATTTAAACCTAAGGCACTGAACTCTATATATCTGGAATGCTGTCTGCCATTGATGGTCACGAACTTTCAATGTCAGACAGCATTCCAGATATATAGGGTTCAGTGACCTAAGGTCTCAGTCCCATAAAACAACGACAATAAAAAAATTCTGGAAGTTACTTAGGAATTTTTTTTATCGTTGTTGTTTCCCATCTCTGGAATCCGGAAGTTCCTTAGGACGCCGAAGGCCGTTTCCGAATTGGGATTTTCAGCGCACTTTTGATAAAGTATATACTCCGGAAGTATGCACTTTAAGGCCTAAGCAGAATAGATTCTTGAACGGGAACGCAATCGTGAAAGCAAACGTCAGCATGTGTGAGAGAAGAATAAAGATATTTGCTATCCTTCTCATACACATTCTTACGTTTTCGTTTACGATTGCGTTCCCGTTCAAGAATCAATTCTGCTTAGACCTTTATCAAAAGTGTGCTAAAAATCCCAATTCGGAAACGGGCAAGTAGCACGTAATAAATACAGTAATATTAAAATGTCCGCCTCAGGATGTTGATGTTGATGTAAATACAGAATGCAAAACCGAAAATAATGAGAGTTAAAAGGATAGTGATATATCCCTGTTCTTTTCACTCTCATTATTTTCGGTTTTGCATTCTGCATTTACATCAACATCTAAATCCAACCTCATGGTAATATTCCCGTTAATATAACTGCAATATTACAGTAATATTACTGTATAATATTACACGTTTATTTGAAATACATAAAAATTTCAAAGTTTTTTATGATAAAACACAAAAAGATAAGAATTAATCAGTCAAGTAGGGTAAATGTACTAATTACGACGCAATTTGAGTCAAAATACCTTTGAAATAGAAAATTTGACATTTCTATTGTGTCAATTGAAGACTTATTAAACTAAAAGCTTATGTTATTTAGATATTAAAAAAAATTTTAACTTTATAAAAATCGATTATTTGAACAAATATGAGAAATTAAAACTAATGTCGTAATTTTCTATTACGGCGCGTTTGTATCAGTTTCGGTGTATCAATTTCGGTGACTAAAATTACGTGTATTTTGAAGATACTTTGCCCGCCGTAATTAAAGCCAATGAAAATCTTAAAAATATTTCAATTACGGAGATGGAAAAAATTTGGTCTCAAATAATTAAATTAATAATTGTTTAAATGTGCATCCTTATAAGTAATTGTATCAAAAAAAGATTAAAATAATTTTTTTCAATCATTTTGCAACAGTTATATTAAATATAATAGTATTAATAGTTTTTTTTATGAACGCGCCGTAATTGGTACACTGACCCTATTTTTAAGTGTTTTTTGAAATTTTTTGTAATATTCCAGTAATATTCCAGTAATATTAACCGAAATATTACCATGAGGCGGACATTTTAATATTACTGTAATGGTAACGTATAAGAGTGAGAGAAATAAGGAATGTTCTTATTTCTCTTTCTCTTATGCGTTACCATGACGACCCTACATATGTAGCACGTGTTGCCATGACAACACGTGTGTTAGAAAGGGTTAAAAAAATGTAGGCATATCTGGCCACAAGTGTAAAGGCGTTTGTATACCTCACCTATTCCGAGTATACTTGTGTCGTGTACCATTGGAGTAAAAGAGACAGAAATATCTTTTGTTTCTTTTACTCCAGTAGTACACGACAGAAGTATACTCGGGATCGGTGAGGTATACAAGCGTCTTAACATTTTCATACATTTTGAGGTTAGGAGGTAGAGTTGTGTAGTTACACGTAACTCGAAATTTTCGACATATGTAACAATGTTGGTTACATGCGTAAAATACGTAATATACGTAGAAAAGGTACAGTCTTGGCCATATATGCCTACAGTTTTGTCCTTTTCTAACGCACGTATTGTCATGGCAACACGTATGTAAACCAAGGACAGAAAATAATAATAATAATATCAAGATCAATGACCACGAGTAAATTTTATCTATAGTTTTTCAAGATTTTTACGTATGTTACATAGTAACATACCGTAACAAACCCATTAATATACATGAATTACCTACCCATCTCTGTTTTCATGTTTATTGTGTACGTCACATATTTCTTTACCTGGCTGTACTCTATGCTTTGATCGGAGCCACGTCATATTTGTTGGTTGTGCAGTTGGATTCGCGGGGTCTTTTTTTCTCGCTTTTCCCGTTTTTAAATCGGTATATTGTGAAAATTTCAAGCAATGAATATATTCCGCCTTTTGGGTGATTTATCTCACCTTCTTGCGATTATAGTTCTTCTCCTTAAAATATGGAAAACAAGGAGTTGTGCCGGTAGGTGTTATTTTATACATAGCGGGCGCCCGTTATCAAAAAAATGACAAATTCTTTTGTGTTATTAAACATTTAAATATATAATATTCATTCAGATTAAACAAACTATTTTTTATTTTGAAAATTGGATAATTGATTATGAATTATTTACAGGCATAAGCGGTAAATCGCAAATTTTATTTGCGATTGTATACACAACGCGGTACTTAGATCTGGTAACCACGTACATTTCGGCGTACAATACTTTTATGAAAGTAATATTTATTGCTGCTTCTGGTGCTACCGTTTTTCTAATTTATATTAAATTCAAAGCAACATACGATCATAACCACGATACATTCAGGTAAAACAAAAAGTTACTTCATAGTTCTTTATTTTCTTTTTACATTAATATTAGTTTATTTTTATTTTTTCCTTCAATTGAAAAAAAAACATTTCAAAATCTTGTAACAGGTATTTTTTTTCTTTTTATATATGCACTTTACCTTGACATTAATATTGTCAAAAAATTTTTCCTGATTGATAATCAATTGCTGGAGACAGTCTTTGTTTTATTTTTTTTTAGACATTTATTCCGAATAAGAATATTTTTTTTCCTTGAAAATTTCTCTTGTAATTTATTTTTAAATATTGAATACGTCATTTGAAGTAAAACATATGGACACTTTTATAAGACTTGAAATATTTCTTTATTTTAAAGAACTAATATATATTAAAAATAATAATAATAATTCTATATTATTTAATAGTTCAATTTTTATTTTAGTCAGATTTCACATTACTTAAAAGTATTTTGAAAATTGTCTATTCATTATACATAAAACAGTATTTTTTAAAGCAAGGTAATCGTTATCTTATACTATGTGTTCTAAAAGTCACGAATGTTTCTGATAACATTACCTCTTTTTATAAACCTAGATATATATATTAGCTTGAACACTAGCAAAAGTAAATAAATTAATTACATATAAATTGATGATACAGTTTTTCTGAAAAATACAGAAAATATAGAAATATTTATTTTTTAACTTTAATATTAATACTTTTAGGGCCAATTTCACCAATTCCGGTTAAAAGTAAATCAGCGATTAAATCCCTAACCGACCAATCATGAGCGGTTAAATTGACTAATCGATGATTAACTTTTAACCGGAGTTGGTGAAACTGGCCCTTAATCTCTACAAATTAATTATGATTAATTAGGCCTTTTATTTATTTATTTATTTATTTTACAATTAAGCCCGCAGTCCAATAGGACCATAAAAGGGCAACTAAAAAAATGCAACTACAAAATTTTTTGATTAATAAATTAATTATGATTTAATTAAATATTAGGGGGAACAATTTTTTTATAAGGGATAAATTTTATTCGATTATTGGAAGAGAAGAAATTGAAAAAAATATTTGACACTATACTTTATTTAACAAAAATAAAAAAATTAACGTTTGACAATTTATGGAATACAAATTTTCATTTTTTTTGTAATAATTTTGTTTTAATAACTTTTTTTAATAATTGAAAAATATAAATGAAGGTTTGTATTAAAAAAAAAACCTTTAAACTGACAATTGTAAAACATTTCTTTACCAAATTCATTTTTAATATTTATAAGACAAATTTTTTTTTCAATTTAGTGAATTGCATTATGTACACTCATGCTTAGTATGATTTTCCCACCTAAAAACAATTAAAGTTTTTATATTTTTGTTAATAGTTAAGATACAAAGTTTATTTTAAAATTCACTCTAATTGTAAGGACTTAAACATTGCCAAAATTGTCATTTTTTGAGGAAAAATCGCACATTAATTTGATAAATTGCATTTGAAGGCATATTTTATCACCCTTGAAACATTCTTTTGAAAATTGTGGTACAATAATTTTTAACCAAAATAAGGTCATTTGCTTTAAAAAAGTAGTTTTTTAAAAAAAATTTTAAATAACGGATTCAATAGTGTGGAAATTTTTTTTTAAAATTAATTTGATTTTCATGAAACACATTATTTGGGAATTTTCGGGGCCTTTAATTTCAAATGCGCCTTTAAATTCGTAATTACAGACTTTAATATTCAAATTTTTAAACATTTTTTTAAAAATGTATATTTAATTTATTTTTTACATTCAATTTTTATATCTTCTAAGTTTTAAAATTCTTCTTTTAACCTATTGGCGAATACTCTATTAACTTTTTATAAAAAAAAACAAACCAAAAATAGTCAATTTTTTAAAAAAAATTCAAAATTAAAACATTTTTTATTTTTTTAAAAATAATTTTAGTTTAAAACTTTTGTATAATTTCTGATTTATTTTAAACAATAATTAGTTATTCAAAATTTTTTACGGAATTACTTTTTAAAAATCGACAATTTAAAAAAATGAATTGTTGGACAGTTTTAATTTTTCGTTGAAAAATATTATTTTCTTTGATAAAAATATAAATATTTCCTTATGCTTGTATTATTAAATTTATGATTTAAGTAGGTATTAATTAATATAACGGTAAATAACAATTATTTATTAAAATAAAATATAAATTATTTAAAATACATTATTTTAAACAAAATTGTATTTCAGGGGATAAAATAATTAAGTATTTGACAATATTTAATTAAAAATTTTTTTAAATAACTTAATTTTCAAAGAATTTTATTATTTATTTATTTATTCATAGTCGACACCTTTCGGTTTCGAACCATTTATATCTTACATATTCTTATTTTTACATAATCTCATATTACTTTAATTAAATTAAATTAAATTTAAATAAAAATTTTATTAAATTTATAGAAAATAAATAAATTGGCACTAAATTTTTTAAAATTATTAAATTTTAGGAAATTAGCAGTTAATTCTTTTTACAATAAAATTTCTGACGATTTTCACTTAAAAATTTGAATGCATAAAAAACTATACAAATTTCTAAAAAAAATTTAATTTAGATTTTTTTAAATAATTTGATATTTTGAAGTCTGATGCAATGAAAGATTTAAAAAAATGTATAATACAACTTAAAAAAAAAAAAATAAAGTTCTCTTGGAAATAAAATTAATGTTAAAAAAACAGTTAAAAAGGTTTATAAATAATATAATTATTTAGATTTCATATAAATAATTGAATTTTAAAATAGTTGTGATGAAAAGTTTTGACATTTGTTTAAATAATATTAAATTAAAAATTTCAAATTAATTCAAGTTTCGAAGAATTTAATTAGAATTATTTTATTTTAAAATAATTTAATTTTTAAGATATTTAATTACAAGGATGTTAATAAATTGAAAATTTTATTAAAATTTTTAAATTAATATATACTTAAATTTTTAAAGAATTTTAATGTGAAAAATATTTTAATAATTGGATTGTATACCTATTTAAAATCATGCTTGATATAAAAAAATTTAGATTTAAAAGTATTATGAATCACTACGTTAAAGGTGAATCTTGAAAATTGCTAATTTTGAAAACTAGGAAAATGTTTAGAATTTTTTTCTTAAAAATTTGATGAACTCTGTTTGCTTTTTGTTGATTGATATACCGTGGATGTACCAGTTACTGTCCATGTCCCAGTTTCCGTCCATTTTACAAATATCTCGTATAGTAATTTAAATTATTTTTTAACAATAATTTATTCCTTTTGGCACGCAATCGACTTATTAGTTTAAGTAAACAAATAAAAGAAAATAATTTTTTTATAAATGTTATTTTGAAAATTAAACTGGACGGAAACTAGGTCTTAGGTGGACGGTAACTGGGACATCCACGGTAATGATAGTTGAAATTTTTTGATACTTTTTTGTTTCATTAATTCAATTTAAAATTTATTAGATATATGACGCTCCGCGACAAAAAGTACCTTAGCTCGTAGTTTTTCCTTAAATAAAAACTTTTTTTTTTGATTAGACAAAATCAAGAATAGATTTTATTGATTATTTTGGTTGTAATAAAGAGTTAAACATCAATGCTTTGTGTAAAGAGTTGATCCTCTTTATTTTCACTTCAAAAATCAAAAACATAAGTTTTTTTTGGAGCTTATGTACCTTTTGTCGCTGAGCGTCACATATATTTAATAATTTTGAGTAAACGTTGAATCCTAAGTAGAGAATTTAAAAATATTTTTATTTGTTACAACAGAATTGAATTCCTGGTGCTACCAGCTCTAGTCCTAGCTTTGGCAATAAACCACAGTTTCTCATTTGTGGAAGTACTTTGGACCTTCAGTATTTATTTGGAGTCCGTGGCCATTCTACCCCAACTATTTCTCGTATCGAAGACAGGAGAAGCTGAAAGTATCACTAGCCATTATCTTTTCGCACTAGGATCATACCGAGGACTTTATCTTTTGAATTGGGTTTATCGTTATTATGCAGAGGATTATTATGATTTGATTGCAATTGTTGCAGGTCTAGTACAAACTGTTTTGTATTGCGACTTTTTCTATTTGTACATTACCAAAGTTCTTAAGGGCAAGAAATTACAGTTGCCCGCCTAGCCGACCAAAAGTATTATATTTAATACTATTTGCCTGCAATTGGCTCTCGATCGAGCTTCAATTGTATACATGTGGGGCTCAACAAAAGAAAGCGAACGTTTTATACAAATTGTGCGTTGTTCGTACCAAGCCCAATATTTCTTGGACATGAATTTTTCATCGCGTTTCTCATTATCTTTGCATCGCGCTGCACAAATCGCATACTGAGTAAACGTTTAAGTTAATCTAGTGCTTAAAGTAATAGAGTGTACTGTACATTGAAATTGTATAATAATTAATCATCTTGAATAATAGTGAAATTGGTATTGTACGCTAGAAGCGAAAGGATCAGATAGATAAACAAATAATGTCTGCCTATAATATTTAAGTTGTTATAATTACGATTTTTATTAATTAAATGACTATAATTATTGAACTATTTAGAATTTTTTATGTCCTTTATGAGCCTGCGGTCGAATTCAATATGCAAATCATTTTAGAGTGCCAACTTTCAAGAGGTACGTCAAGTGAGAAGACTTATACTAAAAATTTATTATGTCTACTATGCCAACAAAAGGCTTTAATGTCCCAATGACAAGTTTTAGGTATATATTTTTGTTTTAAAAAAAAGAGGCTGATTCTGATAAACTTAACTTAATCGAAAACTAGATTTATTTCGGTGGATAGACCCTTAAATAATATTATTAAAACCTATAAAAAAAAATTTTAATTTCAAAGAAAATTTTGAACAAGTTTACGATAATCTTTGTGAAATAAAATGTGAAATAAATGTAGAATGTTTACTCAATCAATGTATCATCTTTTATACTCTTACAAGAGATGTTTCACATACAACAAACAACACTGTTTCAATTGTAACAAGTTCAACAATGAAGAAATAAAAACTATAAGGGACTAACAATGAAGAAATTTACATCATGAGGTAAAGTTTTATAATTTCTTTTTGGTAAAATATAATTGTATATTAAAATACAAACATGGAAAAAATTTCAGTACATCAGATAACATTGTAACATCAGTAGCAACTATAGTTTTTTGTAACTGATATACAGAAACAGACGAATTTTTTTGAAGCGCATAACTTCTGTAACGTATATCGTCTGCTATCGTGTAAACACTAACTAAAAGCAGAAATATTTCAGTGAAATAAGTTGTGAATTTTAGTTAAAATTCAATTTAATTAAATTGCATATTGTTAGAGTTTTATTGATAAAATTTAAAAATGTGAAATTCTAGTTAAAATTCGGCAGAAGTGATTAAAATTATTTAATAATAAAGTTTACATCAAACCATTTTTATTTTTAAATGTAAATGATTTTTCATTAATTATTTTTTACAATTTTTAATCAAAATTATTTGAAAACTGATTCTGTGACGCTTATTTTTTGATTTTCAATATGTAAATACTTCACTTCGTTTATTATTCTGTTTGCTCATATTTTATTTTACAGGTTACTTTTTATGTAACGAATGCTTAAATAAAAATGTTTATAATTTTTACAGTTTTTGACTGAACGATCTGAAACTTTAGGAAAAACTGCTCTATTAGCATAAGGAACAACTGTCGCTTGAAGTTTTTCGTTGGTAAAACTTTCTCGCATATGTACTTTTTGTTGGTGAAATAATAAGAGCCCAAAATCAAATATTTTTTATTAAAAAATAATATAAACGAGTAAAATATTTTTAATTTTTTTGAATCCAACGGTTTCGTCAACTCAAAATTTATTTAAGTACGAAGTAACAAAAAATTTCATTTACAAAAAAGGGAGATATGGTGATATATGTTTCAAAAAGTTATTGATTTCAAGTTATCACGATTTTGCAGTTTTTATTTATTTTTTTTGCAAAACCTGCTAAAAATTAAAGAAAATATTATTAGGAAAACTTGTGCGTTATGTAATTGTCTACAAGTTAATATTTTTTTTCTACTTTGAGACATTTTATTTTTTAGATAATTTTTCTGTTATCTGGTTGTGGTGGGGGTTCATCCCAGGGTTGCCACGGACCTGGTAAACCTGGAATTGTCATGGAATTTTTTTTCAGTCATGAAAAAACTTGAAAACCTGGAATTGTCAGGGAATTTTATCAAATCTCGTTCTAAAAATTTAATTTCCAGTATGTGAATCGAAAAATCTCAAGTTTTCAAGTTCACGGTGCGCCAGAAGGTGGTTGAAATAAAAATGAATTGGCACTTAAAAATTCTTTTTGATTATGATTCTTAGATAAATAACAAACATTTCTCAATAGTTTTTAAAATCAGTTTACGTGTCCGATTTAAATAAAATTGAGTTTTTATATAAAAACAGTGTTTTATGGGGAATCAGAATTTATTTAATCTAATAAATACTGTATTCAAAATTTATTTAAGAGAGTCGAATGGTCTCTGAAATTTTTTGGCAAGAAGAGACCTTTAATTATCGCTCTATAAAAACGGCACTAAACGTGAAAATGATAAACATTGATTTTAAAATACTTTCTTCTCGAAAGACGGACACTTTTTACAAAAGCAGCTAGAGATCCTTATCTTATATAAATTTCCTAAATCCTAAAGATTATACGAATCCATACAAAAATACGATTGCAAAACGAAAAGTAATATAATGACAGGTACATTACCTCCTGCCGCCGTCAGATGGCAGCAGCATGCAGGATTACTTTTCTACTTTTTGTTTTGCAACCATGTTTTTCTATGGATTCGTACCGTCTTTTGGATTTAGAAAATTTATAAGATGAGGATTTTGGCTGATTTTGTTAAAAGTGTTCGTGTTTCGAGAAAAAAGTATTTTAAAATCAATACTATTTCACGTTCAGAGCAATAATTAAAGCTCTCTTCTTGCCAAAGAATTTCAGATACCGTTCGACACTCTTAATGCATAAATATAAAAACGAAACAAGAAAATAACTTCATTGTTAATAAATTTATATGAACCCAAATCTAAAACATCTATTATCTATACGCATATAAGTATACATTAAATAAATTCTGGTTCCTCATAAAACACTATTTTTAAATATTTAAAACTCAATTTGTTTTAAATTGGGCACGTAAGCTGCTTTTAAAACCTATTGAGAAAAGTTTTTTATTCATCTTAGAACCATAATCAAAAAGAATTTTTAAGTGCCAATTCATTTTTATTTAAAACTCCTTCTGGCGCACCGTGAGTTGTCATTACAACTTTTCGGTTTTAAATTTAGTGCTTAGAGTTGAAATCAATATGGCGTTTCTAAATCTTATAGTTTCTATTGGTCAAATATTTTCTTTTGCGTAACACGGTGTAGCTGTCTTTATAAAATTACGTAAAATAAATATTTTGAATCGAGCATGAATATGAAATTATTAGGGTCAGTTGGGGTAAATAGAAACAGATTTGCTAAGTTTCACCAATAATATAAGTTTTTTCTTTTAAATCGCAATACTTTCGGTTTTTTTGTGTATTGAGTTATTATTTAACTTCCGTGGAACAATTTTATGGGGCAGTAGAAAATATGGGTATCATTAATTCGCAATAATCAACTGTTTCTATTTACCCCTAAATTTTTCAACTTTGCTAAAATTTAGGGATAAATATGAAACAGTCATTATTTCTTACAAAATTTAAGAAAAAATTAATTTGTAGTATGAAAATGTTAAAAAATACAAAAAAATTACGTAAAAAATGGTGTTAGTTATAAAATAATTCAAACTAATAAATAATAATGCATTACATAAGTTTAAAAATAAACCATGTTAAATACTATGTACTGATGAGAATATAGATGAATACTATTTTCAATTCATTTTTATAATGCTGAAAATAGTGTTGTAGTTGATAGAAACAATTTTCTCTTTCTCTAATATAAGAAATATTGTTGAAATTTCTGTTTCTATTTACCCCAAATTTCCAGTTTTTAGGGGTAAATAGAAACAGTTTCCTATTTTTAATTAAATTTTGCAAAATGAAAAAATCAAAGGTGATTTTTGTTGTAGTATTAATAAGAGATAATTATAATTAATAATATGAATATTATTATTAAATTCATAACAAAGTTCGAAATATTTAACAAAATATGAATTTTTAGTTTATTTTTTTCCAAATGCGAGTCAAAAAAGTGAAAGGGTGTCTTCTTTGATTTTCAATTTTTTATGCAATAGGAAATATCTTTGTTTATATTGCTCCTAATTGACAAAAGGAAAATGCGAGAATACTTAGAACCTGTTGGGGATGATCTAAAGTTCAAGGTTTAAGGCCGTATTTATTTTGCTTCCTCGTGGAGGAAGCTTTGTAGTCCTTTCGTTTATAAAACTTTTCAAAGTGGAGGAAACAAATTTTTTTTTTATAGAAACATGTTATATGAGATCCTGATCAATTGTCCGGATGTATGTATGTGTGTGTGTGGATCCCTTTTTTGTTTAGAAGATAACTTTAACAGGTTTTAATGGATTTAGATAAAATTTAGTAGGCTCATTTATCATATTAATATCTCAAATCTGACCAAAGGATTTTGAAAAATACTCCAAAAAAAAAATTTTATGCTCTTTTTTCCAAAAATTTTTTTTTAATCGAAAAAATTTTTAAATAGAAAAATTTAAGGTTATATATAATAAAATCGTATTCTATACGCACTCTATACGTCAAGACGAATCGATCGATATATATAAAGTATTCATTTGTGGTAAATTTAAAGAATTAATGAAAGTTAAAAAATCAAAAATTCACATTTTGTCAATAAAATTTTGCTTTCTCCACGAGGAAGCAAATTTTTTTGCTGATCGTAAAGAGGAAGCAAAATGTTCATCTAATGAACATCTGAATTTACAACTTTTTGGTAAGTTTTTTATGCTTTTGGATGCGTTTTTGATGGTAAAAAGGGTCTTCCTCTACTCGGATCAGGGTGTCAATTTTTTTCTACACTTTTCGGAGTATTTTGTGCAAGAATATGCAATAAAATCGTCTGCCTAAGAAAAAATGATTTTTTTTGGTAAGTTTTTTATGCTTTTGGATGCGTTTTTGGTGGTAAAAATGGTCTTCCTCTACTCGGATCTGGGTAGGCACATTTTTCATATTAATATCTCAAATTTGACCAAAGGATTTTTAAAAATACCTCAAAAAAAAATTTTTATCGTCTTTTTACCAAAAATTTTTTTTGGCGGTATTCCCGAACGATTATCTCGCGAATTAAGTTTTTCGAAAATTTTTCCAAATTTGTTTTCTAGTTTAGCTCAGCATCCACTGGACCAATCAAAAAGTGCGCCATACATTTTTGGTTCGAAACTTTTTCCCTATTTTATTGGCGGTATACCGGAACGTTTATCTCGCAAATTTAATTTTTCGAAAATTTTTCCAAAATATTTTTGAGTGTAGCTCAGCATCCGCTGGACCAATCAAAAAGTGCGCCATACATTTTTTGTTCGGAACTTTTTCCCTATTTTATTGG